AATCTCAACATCTCCCAGAACTACATAGAGGCTTTTGAGACTGTCTTATTCCTACCCACTCACATTCCAGTTACGGGGCTGGGCGGGGGTGGGAGAAGAAATGGGATCCTTCACGCAGGACTGGTCTGTGGCAGACGGCAATTCCAAGCAAAGAATGTTGCTGAGCACTCAAAGCCAGCCCCAGGACCAGAAGCTTTTCTTGAACTTGGGTTTAATTTTAATTTGAACTCAGTCATCTCTTCCAGGGTCCTCTGATTAAAGCTACTACTTCTGCCAAATAAACTAGAAAATGGGGTGCTTGTAGGATGAATACCTACATGCAAGAATCACAGTGTGTTAAAGATACTTTTAAAAAGTCATTCTTGGGACCGGCCCTGTGGCTGGGTGTGAAGTTTGCACGCTCTGCTTTGGTGGCCCAGGGTTTCGTTGGTTCAGATCCTGGATGCGGAGATGGCGCTGCTCGTCAAGCCACGCTGAGGTGGCGTGCCACATAGCAGAGCCAGAAGACCTACAACTAGAATATACAACTATGTACTGGGGCGCTTTGGGGAGAAGATGGGAAAAAAAAAAGTCATTCTTGTTTTTGTCATTTTAAAAAGTAATTCGCTGCAATTGTAAAACACAATAGAATATAAAGATGTATAAGGAAAATATGTTAAAAAAAAAAACCCCAACCTGCCTCCTACCCCTATTCCAACCACACTTGTTTCAATCTCCCCCTCCCCCCCCCAATCAAATTACGTTAACCTCCTGGTGTGTAGATTCCTTACTGTTCTAGAATGTCGTCTTCATGTTTTGGGGTTTTTTTTCTTTCTTTCTTAATGAGCAGTCCTTTTTATTCTTTCTGGAAAGCATGTCCCCACTTTGTGTATGGGGACAGTGGGTGAAGAGAGCTTACTCGGACAGCACGTTTCCTGCCCTCACCAGCATATAATTTAGGGCAAAGAAAATGGGGATGGTGGTGCCAACCCCAAAGGGTGGCTGGAGGTTGGCTGGGGGTGGGGGTTAGATCAGAAAATTGGACAGAAAGAGCACAGTGTAAGGATCTGGCTTTTAGAGAGAGGAACGAGGCAGAACAGTTAGGAGCATGAACTCAGACTTCCTGGGTTCCAGTCCCAGCTCTGCCCTAACTAGCTGCCTCAATTTCCCCATCTGTAAAAAGGGGACACTGATAATAGCAACATCATAGAGTTCTGGGATTATAAATGAATTAATAATTTGTAAAGTGCTTAGAATGGAGCCTGACACATAATGTGCTACATGTGTTTAAAATGTTCATAAAATAGTTATCAAAAGGTAGTTAAAGCTGTAGTTTTTGATGGCGGTGATGATATTACTGTGGCGAAAAGATTTTCCTATTTAGAGATGGCCAATGTGTTCTTGGCTCTTGTCACTGGGATTTGTTTTCTAGACCAAGTGACCAAATGACAGGTGTAGGAAAAGACCTGCTGGCTTACAGAGTACTTAGTCCCTTGCTGGCTTTATTTTTAACTTTTTTTGGTGGAAATGTTTGGGTACACCGAATCCCCATGTACCAATCCTCTGGTTTCAACAGTTTGCCATTCTTATTTCCTCCCACGTGCTGGCGTTAGCCTTCAGTGTGGCTCAGAGACATTGTCCAGCCCTTGCCAGGGTCGAGGCAGCCTTCCCAGAGCCTTCCCGGAGCAGGCGATCCCCTCAGTCGTTCTTATAATTTCCAGTTTATCAGCCCAGAAAATCAGATTGCACAGAAAGATAATGTGTCTTAATGAGCACCCAGAAATTCAGGTTGGGGCTTGCCTGTCTGTCGTGCACACTTCTGTCACTTCTCAAAGCATGGTGCTTAGCCACCATTAAGACTAGACGCCCCAACGCCAGTTAAGCACTTTGCATCAAATTATTTGGAAAGCCATTTTCATATTTTCAGGCTGCCACCCTGTGCAAGTTCAGTCATGCTTGTCCCAGCTTTCACTGCCCAGATCTGGGCCAGCTGGGGAAAGGAATTCAGTGTGATAAATGAGGGCAGATCTTGTTCCCTGCCTATATGACAAGCCCCCAACACATTCCGATCGTCACCCCATTACTTCTGTGGGGGATGACATTGGGGGAGGGTTATTTGAAAAGCATCTTGTTCTGCTAGTTGGAAAAGAAATTCCTGTGTTAGTCTTAAAGGGCAATATCTGCCTATCTTTCGACTTTGCATTTCTTCTTGGCTTCTGTTGTCATTTTATGGTTCATCTATTCATTTAGCAAATTCTTGTCTTCTAGCTTATCTACCCAAATGCACAGAAATAATAATCATCTCCTTCTACTTGCATTGCTGTTTAGCTTTCAAACTGTGATCACATTTACCCTCTGGGTTAATCTTCACTAAACCCTGAAGAGATAGGCTTGACCAGCGGTATCCTTTATGTTCCAGTAGAGAAAACTGAGACCCAGAGAGGTTAAGCATTCTGCTTAAGGCCACCCAGCAAGAACCTGATGGGATCTGAGTTTATAATGCAGTCACAGACTGAGACCAGCCCTTTGTTGGGGTTCTTCCTGTCGTAACCCTCTTCCTGTCGTTTATGATAGCCTTCCCCTGAACACTTCACCCGCACCCCCTCAAATCTGGGGAATGAGTTGGAGAAACAGCCTGAAGGGTGAGAGTAGAGGTGGGCACATGGTTTTGATTTTTTTTACAAACTAGGAGGCAGGGCTTGGGTGAGTGATTGTTCGAAGGACCCAGCTCCCTCCTTTGAACTAACTCTTCTTGATTTGGCTGCTCAATTTATTTGCCAGGTAGCAGATTTCAAGCTACTGCATGAAGTAGCCTCAGATGTCTACCATCTTTGGGTCCTAGCTTGGAGGCAAAAACTTCTTTTAAAAATATCCAAGGCCGTAATAGGGTCTCTCCAGGGTAAGAGAGAGCCAACCACGAGACTCGCGTAACTTGTGTTAAGAGCCACTCCCAGTTCTGCTATTTACTAGTTATAGGACGTCGGGCAAATTTCTTAACCTCTCTGAGCCTCAGTCTTTTCATCTTCAAAATGAGGATAATCATGGTGCTTACGGTCTCACACCCAAACATGGTCTTATTTTCTTTGGTAAGGGTGGGGCTCTTGGCTTCAGAAATCTTTGCAAGGGTGGCCCCTGGTGGAAGAGATGAAAACTGCAGCCCAGACATCCTGGATGGCTTTAGGGCTTTCTGACAGAGACCTAATCCTCATGAATGTAGAGGTGTCTAGCCTTGTAAAATGGGCAGAGGAGCAGGAATTTTTATAAAAGATCGCTTGGACAAAATAGAAATTCCATTGGAGGGATGAGGAGCAATCATTTGAAGGGGAGGAAAACAGGCCAACTTGAGAGTTTCCCAGAATGAACTGTCTTGTCGACTGTTCCTTCTGCCTAGAAGGCTCTTGAGTCAGGTTTCTGCAAGACTGGCTCCTTCAGGTCTCAGCTTAGATGCCTCCACCTTAGAGAGGCTTGCCCTCACCATCCAATGTAAGTTACACCTTCCCCAATTCCCCTCTCCCCGTCACTCTTGTCACCCTCTTTAATTCCTTTATGTCTAGCACTTGTCACTAACTGAAATTATTGGTTTCTGTATTCGCCCGCCTCTTCCACAGTAGCGTATGCCCACGGGGAGCAGGTGCCTGGTCTCTCTTGTTTATAGTCTGTCCTTAGAGGCCAGCCCAGTTTCTGGCATATGGCTTGGGGGATATCTGTTGAATGAATCCTTTGCGACACTGATGTTTAGTGTAGACATTTTTTCAGTACAGCTTCTCCAGCTTTGGGTATTAATACTTCTTAAGTTTTAATACTTTAATATCTATAAAGCTTTAAGTACAGTCATGTGCTACGTAACGTTTTGGCCAAAAATGGACCACATATACGATGGTGGTCCCAGAAGATTAGTGTCATATAGCCTAGATGTGTAGTAGGCTGTACCATCTAGGTTTGTGTAAGTGCACTCTGTGATGTTCACACAGTGATGAAATCACCTAACAATGCATTTCTCAGATCGTATCCCCATCGATAAGTGACGCATGACTGTAGCTTTTTCTCTGAGTCATTAGTCATAACGTTCCCCCACCCAGGTCATCCTTTTCTGTCTGTGGGTTTGTCTTGCTGCCCTGTATGACCGGGTTGAAGACTTTCCTGTGCAACCATCCTTGTCTCCCCCAACTGACAGTGATCCGTTTCTCCTCTGCGCCTCATACTGCAAGCATAGAATCAGCACTCAATAAATATTGACAGTTATCTGTGTCTTTTGTGGAATACTTGTGGGGGCTGAATAAATGATTAACCAAAGCTACATTTGCTTTTTAAATGCTTATATAACAAACTTTAATATAGTGTTTATTATGTGTCAGGTACTGTTTTATGTATCTTAAAACAACCCTAGTCGTTACTGTCGCCTTCATTCTACAGATGGGTAGACGGAGACACAGAGATTAAATAATTCGCCCAAGGTCACAGAGCTGGGAATTGAACCCAGGTAGTCTGTTCCAGAGCCCATGCTCTTAACCATTATGCCATGCCGCCTCCCTCTTATTATCTTATAATCTCTCTTATCATCGGCCACCGTTTATGGAAATGTAAACTGCTAATTTAAGTGTAGACTCTCCACAGCCCCTCACTGTACCCTGGTCCCTAACTCATGGACTCTTAGAGGTATTTGGTCTCAGTTATTTTAGTGGTCTGGTTTCGTATTGTCATAGAGCCATCTGAAGGAGAGGCCCCGTTTTTTATTGCTGTTGAAAAGGAGATGTTACTTTCTAGACAGGTGACTGTTTGCACTTTACAAGTAGATGAGAAGAAAATCAGATCACAATTAACAGTCGCCCTGTGATTGTGAAGGGCATAGTGTGATATCGACTACTTTGGTATCATCGCTGTTCTGTCACCAGAGTGTGGTTTGTTGTGCTTGTTTTGTGTGTCAGGCTTTTGGTGGGTGACTCAAGTTCGATTTTTAGAGCAGGAATGCTCTTGTCTTTAACCTGCCCGATTTCCTAATCACTGTGATTTCTGCCCTACAGTGAGTTTTGAAGGATGCACTGGTCAGCCGAGGACAGTCTATGCTTCTGATGACACCCGATTCAGAGTGGGCACAGATGGTGTGGTTATGGTCAAGCGGCCTCTACAGCTTCATAATCCGGAGATGAGTTTTCTTGTCCATGCCTGGGACTCCAGCCGCAGGAAGCTCTCTACCAAGGTTACCGTGAAGGCAGCCACGCACGAGCACCACCGCCACCACCACCACCATGTACGTTGGGGTGTTCCTTGGAAGTTCTCATTGTTTTAGTCTGCTGCCTAATCCAGGTTTCTCTGCCTTGGCACCATTCACATTTGGGGCTGGATAATTTTTGTTGTAGTCTGTCCTGTGTATACTATGTGATGTTTAGCGGCATCCCTGGCCTTAACCCACTACATAGATGCCAGGAACACTCCTCTAGTTGTGACAATCAAAACTGTCTCCAGACATTGCCAATGCCCCTAGGGGGAAAGATCGCCCCAGTTGAGAACCGTTGGTCTAACTGAACTAATTCTTTTAGGGGATTTTTTGTTGCTGAGTGGAGAGGGATCAGGTAGAATGATGGCAAGATGTCATTACCTTTGTTTCCGTGGGTCAGAGCACAGATACTGTCTGGGATTGAATCCCAGCCCTGCCATTTACTACTTGAATAACCTTGAGAGAATCTCTCAACCTGTCTATGCTTGAATTTCCTTCTCTGCACAATGGACATAACAATGACAGCATGAGTGAATACGTGTAAAGTGCTAGAACTATGCTAGGCATTTAGTAAGTACTCAGTAATTGTTACAATGAACATACAGAACAATGAACTAGAGGGCAATTCTCTGATTGTTTTGCTCTTTGTGTTTTTAATGGGGAGGTTCTTGGCACAGAAAAGGAAGAATCAGTGGGAAGCTTTTGCCCCATTGGACTGTCATTTCCACAGGATCCTTCCCCTTTGTAATTGTAGTGCCTGGCCCTCGGTCTGGCACTTACCAGGAGCTCGGGAAATATTGAATGGAAAAGATGGATGGATTGGCCATGAATGGTCAGATACGTATCTGTCCAGGTTCTTGGCAGGAATGTTTTTGGGTGTTGTTACCCAAAGCCAAATGGCTCTGCCGGTTTCTAAACTGCTCCCTTGGTGCTTCCTACAATATGCGTCTCTGGAGGCCATTCTACTTCCATCCTCCGGCTGCCTGGGACGTGTGGAGCATGTTGTAAATGCCAGAGCCTTTCAGGCTGGCTCCTGTTTTTCTCCCCGAAGACTTGAGATTCTAGGAACTTAATAGTCCTGACAGATCTAATTTTTCTCCCTGGTGTGATTGGACAGACCAGAAAAATGCGGAACTTAGTAGAACTAAGTTAGCACAGCTCCCTGACTCAAGCGTTCAAGTGTTAAGTTCAGAATGGCGAGTTCATGCTCGCAACTGTGCGTGGAAGTCTCTTCTGTCCAAAAGACAATTTTGAGCTTGGTTTTTCAACTTTTCCTCCCCACCTCTGCCAACTTGGCCTCTGCCTCCATGACTGCTGTATCATGATTAGGTTCAAATACGTATTATTAAAAAACCCACAAATTACTGTGGTTTCTGCAAAATAGAGTATTTCTCTTTCAAGTTAAGGAAATCCAAGGGTAAGTTGTGGCCAGTATGGGGACTCCACAGTTATCAGGGGCCCAGGTTCCTCCTTTCTGTTCTGTCATCCTCGCCACATGGCTTCCATCCTCAAGGATACCTCATGATCCAAGACACCTCCTGGAGCTCCAGTCACACATCTTTATTCTAGGTGATAAGGAGGAAGGGAGGAAGAAAAGGTATCACTTTCTTGTCTGTCTGCCTTTTTAAGAGGCCTCTGGAATTCTCAAGCAAATAATGTTTACATCTCATTGGCTGGAACTTGGCCTCATGGCCACACCTAGCTGCAAGTATAGTATAGAAAATGTAGTTTACTTGGCAAATTGCTGGATATAAAATTGAGATACATATATGGAGAGAAACAGATTTTTTTTTGTTTTTTTGTTTTTAGATAAGAAAAGGAGAAGGGATATTGAGTAGTAGGTACCAACTCTGCCACAGCTAGTTTGAGGTCCACTTTGGTTTGTCTCTAGTTCAAGAGGCCCTTGTGAGGCCAGGTGGTCCTGCATTAGGAGAAAGGATGGTGATCTTACCTCTCTGTGATGAATCTGTCTTCACTCATCAGTGCCTGTTCTCCCCCCATGGCTGTGTAAGATGGGCATTTTTAGGCTCAGGATACAGTGTGGTCGTCGGTTTAATACTTGGTTCCTGTGCTGAAAGCAAATCTCAAACTCGACTTCATTAAAACCATAACTTGGTCTTTTCTAACCAATCCAGCCGTCATCTTCATCACTATCATTTATTGAGCACTTAGCATGTTTCAGGTGTTCAGTGCCTGATCTGCATTACTAGTATCTCATTTAATCCTTTCAAGAACCTGTGAGGGAGATACTAATATTATTCCCATTTTAGACATTCAGAAACCGTGGGACATTAAATAATCTGCCTAAGAGGAGGAAGTGCCACAGTGAGGATTCAGAGCATGCCCTTGGCCCAGGCAGGACTACTCCTCTAGGAGATTAAAGCAAGGATGCGAGGGGGGGGGGGGGGGAGGTATGTGTGCGCGTGTGCATGCGCTAAGGGGTGTGTGAGTGACCAGTATCAGGAATGCAGGATTGGGAAGGATTTTGTGATGCTATCTGGTCGTATCTCATATCTATCTTGTGCATTTTGAATCAAATTTCAAAAGTCAGGAACTAGAGCTTGACTCACACTTGGCAAAGAGTGGTCCGTGGCTGTGTGGAGGGTGGGAGATGGATTGTCCTCTGGACCCTTTACTGTGTTACCAGTAATCACTTTAAAGCACTTAAACAATTTGGAGGATGTTTTCCTTCCATCTTCAACTATCTTATTTCCCGGCGTGTGCATAAAGTTATCTTTATCGCACATGGAAGCTGTTCAATGCAAATCTCAAAGGGTGTTTTTGGTTTCCACCCAACAGCCTCTGTTAGAACAAATGGAAACCATATAGATAGAATGACACAACAAGAATAAGGAATTTGTATTGATCACAAAGTCGTTCTTAGTACCAATTCCCAAAACTTACTTATTTGGATGATAACTCCACTTTGGGGACCTATATCCCTAGGAAAAACATAAAATAAAAGAAAATTAAAACACTTAAGTATACAGTTGTTGAATAAGCTCTGATATTGAATCATCAGAGTATAATCTATTAAAAACAACAGGTGTGATATGTAGGCTGGAAATAAGTTGTAAAGTAATATCAGGCCCTTGAAGCTGTAATCACGTATGCATAATGATTATTTGAACTCCCAACACTAAGAAGGATCAAAAGAGAACATCATCTTTATGATACGGCGAAAGGGTTCATTGGGTTTTGTTTTGGTTGCTCATTTTGTTATTAAGTTAAAACCATACACTTCCCTCCAAAGGCTGGAAATGCTGACTGGGTAGGTTGGATTGTTCAGGCGGTCATATTTCTCCTGTGTTATCTCATTTTATTCTCCATCTTTCCTTTTAGGAGGCTGTCTCTGGAACCCATACAGAAGTGCTCACATTTCCCAGCTCCCACCATGGTCTTAGAAGACAGAAGAGAGACTGGGTTATCCCTCCTATCAGCTGCCCAGAAAATGAGAAAGGCCCATTTCCTAAGAATCTGGTTCAGGTAGAGAAAGAAGTTCTCTATATCTCTGGGAGGAATTTGGCTGAGAAGGACCAAAGAGAGAAAGGGAAAAGACCCAATGTCAGGATCCTTCCTTGCTAATTCTGTTTCTTTCTGTTTTGTCTTTAGATAAAATCTAACAGGGACAAAGAAACCAAGGTTTTCTATAGCATCACTGGCCAAGGAGCCGACACACCCCCTGTTGGTGTGTTTATTATTGAAAGAGAAACAGGATGGTTAAAGGTGACAGAGCCTCTGGATAGAGAAGAAATTTCCAAGTACATTGTGAGTATCTCTTAGAAGGTTATTAATGGTGGGGTCACATCCTTCTAAAATTTTTTGGTCAACCCATGTTGCACCCCTAGATCACATGCCCTGGACATGAGAGGAGCTTATTTTGACATCTCTAGACTTGTTAATAAGGAGAAATAACAGGAGAACCTGGAAAAATTGGGGGTTGTTGATTTTTTTCCTTGTTAGGAATAAGGAGGGGAGAGTCCTTATGCATCATGCGTGAGTTAGACCCAAGATGCCAACTTTTTCTTGGGGCTAAAAGTCCCTGACCCAAAGGAAGAGGCCAGTGATGATCTTGGGAGTGAAAACCATTTCTGGGCCTTGGTAGCAATATGGGCTTAGGGAAGCTGGGAGGTAAATCATTGATGCCAAATGCAGAAAAATCTGGGGGAAACACTATTTACCCTGCTTGGAATAAGTCAGGGTGTTTGAGCCTTCCACCTGTATCTCCTAGGCCTGGTCCCCCAGCCCTTGGGTGGGAAGTGGAACCTCTGACCTGGTGGCTGTGTTTTCCAGCTCATGGGTCTTCACATCGTGTCATGGTCTCAACTAGTGTCATGATGTGATTAAAGCAGCAGCCCAGGTGTGAGAAAAGTTCTCTGCTGGGTGTGTCCATCCTTGGGTCTTGGAGAGTGGGAGGGAGTGGAAGCCAAGTAGAGTCCCCTCTGCTCTGGGCAGACCTCCTCTCCACTTGTTCTCCCACTCTTGTTGGGGCCCAAGTAACCCTCACTTGGCTCTTGCAGCTCTTCTCTCATGCTGTGTCTTCGAATGGGAATGCAATCGAGGACCCGATGGAGATTGTGATCACGGTGACAGATCAGAATGACAACAAGCCCGAGTTCACCCAGCTGGTCTTTGAAGGGTCTGTCATGGAAGGTGCTCTTCCAGGTATGTCCAATAATGAGGAGCTGACCACCTGGAAAGACTTGATTCTTTGGACCTCAAAGTGTTGGGGCTGACGTTTGGGGTCAGGCCCTGTATATGGACAGAACTTCTTTGGCAGAGCAGTTTAAGAACAACCTTTCCTGATTAAGAAATAATCCTTGCCAGTCTTAGGCCATTCCTGATCACATTCTTATATCTCTTCCATAAAGGTAACCATTGCCCTGACTTTTGTGGTAACTAATCTCTGGTTTATCTTTCGCCATGTGTGTTTTATTTACCTCTAGATAATATCTTGTTAGTTTTGCCCATTTTCAAACTTTATATACATGGAATCATACTATACTATACATGTATTTCCATGATGTACTCCTTTCATTCAACCTTACGTACATAATAATGGTTCTTCCATGTTGTTGCCCATAGCTATTCATTTTCATTGCTGTGTAGTATTCCCTTGCCTGGATATTTTTATATTTATATAAAATAGCTTATCTATTCCACTGTTGATTAAAAAATGGGGTTGTTTGAGTTTCTTGCCATTATAAACAGTGCTCTCAGAACATTCTTGAATATGTCTCCTGGTGCAGATATGCAAGGATTTCTCTAGGGATATATCCATAATAGTGGATTGCTCATTTGTGGGATATGTGCATGTTCAACTTTATTACATGGTGATAAACTGTTTTCCCAAGTGATTGAACCAATTTACATTCCTACCAGCAATATATATCCTGCAATTGTTAGACTTTTAGCTTTGGCCAATCTGTTGAGTGTATAATTGTATCTCAATGCAATTTTAAATTGCATTTCTCTGATTATTCATGAGTGAAGCAGCTTATCGTATGTTTCCTGGCAATTTGGGTTTCTTCTTTATGACTTGTCTCTTCAAGTCTTTTGTCCTTTTTTTTCCTCTGGGCCGTTTATCTTTTTCCTGTTGATTCTTAAAGAGTTAATTAGATGTTCTGGGAACTAGTCCTTTGTCAGTCACATGTGCTAAAAATGTTTTCTTCCACTTTAAAGGCAATGATCTCAAATGACCGTTCTGTCTGGTGAAGCTGTGGCTGAGGAGGCAATTGTGGAAATTTCTGGGATTTTTTCCTATCTTACATGCCATTCACTCAGGATGAAAGACATGGCACAATTGCTAGTTTAGGGTTATTTATTCTCCATACTCCTTCCCACCTCCACTCCCCACCCGAAATATGTGTTGGGAAAATTGAGTTCTTGGAACACCACACGTTTGGTGGAATGCTTGTTTCCTCTCCTAGGACTTAGGTAAGAAATTTGGAAATTTGAGAATGGAGGAGCCATAATCTGGTAGCATCCCCAGGGCCTCTCCTTCAACATTCTGGACAGAACTGAGCTGAACGGTATTGACCAGGCCCCCAAGTGCAGCTTCACTGCATCTTCCTCTCCTTTGATGCTTCCAGGAACCTCTGTGATGCAGGTCACGGCCACAGATGCAGACGATGACGTGAATACCTACAATGCTGCCATTGTGTACTCCATCCTCAGCCAAGAGCCTATGCTGCCTCACAAGCAAATGTTCACCATCAACAGGGACACGGGAGTCATCAGTGTGCTCACCACCGGGCTGGACCGGGAGGTGAGGGGTCAAGAGCACCCAGAGGGTGTTGAGGGCAAATTCCATGGAAAATGCAAAACTTGGCTGAGGCCGGTTACCACTTCATATGGTCATGGTCTGAACTTAGCATCTAAACATCCGTCCAGAGGTTTTGTGCCAGGAGGGCAGGCTGGCATTTAAACAGATGATAAAATATTCTGTTTCTGTGTGATGGGCTGGGCTGGGCCTGATATGGCTGCTCTGTGGTTCTGATTCGGGTGTGTTTGATCTCTCTGCAGAGTTTTCCCACATATACCCTAGTGGTCCAGGCTGCTGACCTTCAAGGTGAGGGCTTAAGTACAACTGCCACAGCCGTGATCACAGTCACTGACGCCAATGACAACCCTCCCGTCTTCAACCCCACCTTGGTAATTCCCCAACTCCTTGGACTGTTTTCAAAGAAATGTCCTTTGTCGTCTCACAGCTGCTCATATGGAACCCTTTGAAAACTTTCCCCAGACTAGTGAACTTTAAGAAGCAAGCAGATTGGGCTGGCGGCTGTCTCTGTCATCCTCAGCCTGGGGCCTAGTGGCAGAGGTTTGTGAAGCTGCAAAAAACACCTACTGAATTCATGTCCTCATAATGTGCATCTTAAAAATAAATCTTACCAAGTTTTATTTATTCACTGAACAAATATTTTCTGAGTTTATGCCAGGCACTGTGTTAGACACTGGGGATATTATCACAAATAAGGCAGACAAAGATTCTATTCTCATGAAGTTTATAGTCTAGCTATAGAGATGTCAGACAACTTCTACAAATTGTTGTGTGAAATTACCTTAAACGTAGTCAAGGAGAGGGTACCAACAGCTGTATGAAAGAACCTTAAACCTTATTGTATTAGTTAGAAATCATCTCAGTGGTTAGTAACAGAGACTTGACTCTTGTGGTCAAATAGGGTTGATTTTCTTCTCTTGTGTCACAAAAAGCCCAGAGGTAGATAGTCCCCTCTCTCAATAGAGACCAAGCCTCTTTTGTCTTGCTGTCCCACCATCCTTGGTGCATGGCTTCCATCCTTAATGTCACTTTGTGGCCCAAGATGGCTGCTGGGGCTCCAGCAATATCTGAGCTTCCTGTTGGGTCAGGAAGGAGGCAAGGGCAAAGGGTACAAAAGGCATTGCTGCTGCTAAGTCAAGTCCTCTTATTTCTGTGAAGACCCATCCCACAAGTTTTGTTTACATCTCAGCAACTGCTGTGGGCAAGGAAGACTGGAAATAAAGTTTTATCTGGGTACATTGCTGCCACCAACAATGTAGTCAGTGAAGAAGGGGAGAATGGATATTCAGTAGGTGATTAGCAGTGTCTGCCACTCTAGCCTGGCATTGTGAGTCCAAGAGGGATTCACAAAGACAGTGAGTAACATTTATAGTAAGACTTGAAAGGAGGTTGGTAAACGTGGGACAGGGGAGGGTGGAAGAGTGTTCTAGGTAGAGGGATCAGCATGTGCAAAATGCCCTGAATCGAGAGGAAGCTTGATACATAGCAAGAACTGAAAAACAGTCAGTACAGTGAGCCAAATGAGGTCGGGTCCTGAAGGACCTTGTAAACTGAGGTAAGAATTTTAGAATTTATCCTGAGTGCAAGGGGATGTCGTCAGAGAGTTTTAAGCAGAGAACTGTAATGACCAGATTTTCGTTTTATGAAACTTGGTGGTACTGCTGAGAATGATGGGGGAGGAGGGAGTGGCGGATAAATCACAATGTGTTGCACTTGACTAAGATCACAGTCAGCAACTGGGCCAGAGTGTGCCAAGGGGCTCCGAGGGCCAAGGCCTCGGAAACCTACTTCAGGGAGTCAGGGAGGACCATGCTCCTGAGTGCTTGCTGCTCTAGCAACGGACAGGAGACAAGGGCCCTGCTGGTAGAGTGGGTGCTAGCTCTGAGATTCTTCTCAAAGCTTGAGCTCAGAAAGGAATCCCTTAGTCCCCTAAGCCCTGACTCCGCCATCAGGTCTCAGTATGTTGTAAATGACCCATCTTGTGCTTTGCTCTGCAGTACGAGGGGCAGGTGCCTGAGAACCAGGCTGATGTCCTAATCACCAGACTCAAAGTGACGGATGCCGACGTCCCCAACACCCCGGCATGGGAGGCCGTGTACACCATATTAAATGATAATGAGCAGCAATTTGTTGTCACCACAGACCCAGTAACCAATGAAGGCATTTTGAAAACAGCTAAGGTTTGTATGGTGCCTGGCAGGATACAGAAACAGACAGCCCAGCTAGCTACCCACTCCTTCGTTCCCTTGTCTTCTCAGAAGTTGATTAGTGTGGCATTGGCGGGGTGGGGCGGGCGGCTTTCCCAGATTCTGGTGGACCATGTGAGGTGCAGTGACTCTTCAGGCTCATGTGAGAAGTCAAGAAGCTCTTGCACAGCTCCCTAAGATTGAAGAGGAAGAGGGCCCGGCCCGGGGTTCGCCGGTTCGGATCCTGGGTGCAGACATGGCTGTGCTTGGCAAGCCATGCTGTGGCAGGCATGCCATATATAAAGTAGAGGAAGTTGGGTGTCGATATTGGCTCAGGGTCAGTCTTCCTCGGCGGGGGTGGAGGCGGGGGGAGGAGGATTGGCAGCAGATGTTAACTCAGGGCTAATCTTCCTAAAAAAAAAAAAAAAAAAAAGATTTAAGAGGAAGTTCCATCTACTTTAATGGGCTCTTCCCTGAAACATTTGCCTACCCCCGTAGCCCTTTTGCAAATGAGAGGAAAAACAGTTTCCCTGGTCTCTGCTATTTTGCTGGATTATTTTAGAAGTGGGGCAAATATGACTGCTTGGAAACTCGAATACTAAGATGTTGAGTGATTTCCTTGTTGAAGTTAGTCAGAGAGTTAATAGATCCCTAGATTAGCCCCAAAGCTCCAACTTCCTCTTGAGCAAATGAGCAGACCCTTCATTTCTGAATTACTTAGTATGCAATCTTGTCTCCCACTTAACATTTGATGTCAACATTTTCTGTTATTATTCTGTCAACAAAAGAAAGAAGCTAATAATTTGAATTTCTACCATACACAAGTTCCTACCTAAAACGTTCCATTTTCTTCCTTACAGCACCTCTATGAGGTAGTTCCTTTTCCTCCTTGTTTATTTAGGTGTGGAAACAGGCCCAGAAGTTACATAGCCCAAATCACACAGCTAGGAGATGGCCCAGCTGGGATGTGACCTTGTTGCTGACTACTTCTGAATCCCATGTTCTTGCCACTAACCTTACTGGGGTAGTGAGATGGACAAGCAGGGTCTTCTGTCCATGTGCTGTCACATGGACATCATGTCACATAGGATGTGAACATTCTTCCTGGTGTTGGGTAGATAAATGACTCAATGTGCTGGTGTTTGTTAGCTGAGGTTTGCCATTTGAGATTTCATATTGTCTTTATTTTTCTCCTGGGGTTCTCAACTCTGATATGGCTGCATGGTAGTCATCAGGAGCTTTTTAAAAATATCTCTGTCCAGGCCCCCCTCTCAGAGATCGTTATTTCCTGGGTTAGGGGTTAGAGCCCGGGCATCCATATTCTGTGAAAGTTCTCCACTTAGTTCTTCTGAATGCAGCCAGATTTGGGAACCACTGGTGTGTTGCTAACCAAAAGCAATAGGAAAGGATTTAATTTTTTTTTTGTTTTTTTTTCACATAAAAATTTTTTAACTCAATTTTTTCTGCTCTTCAGGGCTTAGATTTTGAGGCCAAGCAGCAGTATAATCTGTTTGTGACCGTGAAGAATGTGGCCCCCTTTGAGGTCACTCTCTCCACCTCCACAGCCACTGTCACCGTGGACGTGATGGATGTGAACGAAGCCCCCATCTTTGTGCCTCCCCAAAAGAGAGTGGAAGTGCCTGAAGACTTCGGCGTGGGCCTGGAAATCACATCCTACACTGCCCAGGATCCCGACAAGTTTATGGAACAGAAGATAACGTAAGTGTGAGGAGTTTTCATCTGGCTTGCAGCAACTGGGTGTATGTGTATAATATATTTCGTTCATAGCCTTTATCATCGTTGGTCCCTGCAAGACCCTTCTCGTTTGGCTTTTTTTTTTTTTTTTAACTCCTTTTTATCCTCATTCCCCACACTTTTCCCTCCATAGTTGGCCATTCTAGGTTTTCGGTGCTTCCTCCCTTTGAGTTCATATAGCATAGTAGGAATGTGGGGGTGTTTTTGTTTTTAGGGTGTTTTCTTGGGAAGATTAGCCCTGAGCTAGCATCTGCCGCCAATCCTCCTCTTTGTGCTGAGGAAGACTGGCCCTGAGCTAACATCCGTGCCCATCTTCCTCTACTTTATATGTGGGATGCCTGCCACAGCATGGCTTGCCAAGCGGTGCCATGTCCACACCCGGGATCCGAACCAGCAAACCCCGGCCCGCCGAAGCGGAGCGTGCGAACTTAACCGCTGCACCACCAGGGCAGCCCCAAGGAATTTGGTTTTAGTTTACATATATTGTATTGTGTTAGAAGTGGCTTACTGTTTTTTCTCTTTTTAAACCTGAAGGCACCTCTATAATGTAAATCACAGCTACAGATGCTGCAAACACATTTACAAACCAACCAACAACACGCCTGTGACCAAGTATGATAAAGAATATTCTTAATCTTTTGAGAGCTTGATCTGATTGACTGCATACATGGTGCTCCAGTGTGACGACAGTGTAACTCAAAGGAGAGACCGTTAGAGCACAAATCCAAACATGACACGTGCATCTTGTTACTAATAGTATGATTTCCAGGGATAACCGAGGCCTCGGTCAGTGTCCCTGCTTTCTCTTCGCAGAGAGAGAGATTCCTACCCGTTAATATCTACTCTCTGTAGAAAAAATGTTAGGCAAATCCAGAGTAGAGTCATGCTTGATAATTGAGTGTGTTCTTGTTTTGGGGGGTGTTTATGTTTCGGCATCAGTGCCTGTGATTTATTAAATGTAAACTAAACAAAGGGTTTAAGTGTGACTTCAGCTTCCGATGATCGTCTGGGAGGTGCTAATTCTACCCTGAGTGAAAGGGCTCGTAAATAAACTGTGCATGTGCAGTGTATGGGGTGAACCGTATAAAAGGTCCAGGGAGTGATCTTAATGACTGCTAGAATCATTAGGTCAAGGATGATGGGGAATTTTAAAACAGAGGAACCAGGCTGATAGCACCCAAACCTTCTGATTGATTTTAACATTTACTAAAGAAGCAGGGGCAACGTGACATTATGTGCTGCTTGACGTGATTCCATAGACATACACAGCATCTCTTAAGAAATGTGTTTTGGAGAAAACAAAAGTTGAAACAGAATCTAATCAAGCCTTAGGATCTGATTTTGAAGAAATGCAGAGGATGAAGAAACAAGTTAAACGCTGTGAGGAAACAGCCAAATACAGAATGTGGGAACCATATGACAAATGGCAAAAGAATCGGGGTGACTCCTATAGAATAAAAGGGTGTTAAGAGACAAATCAACAATTGTGACATGTGGACTATGCTTGAATATGGATTCAGACAATCCAACTGAGGAAGACACGCTGGAGGCAATTGGGGAAATTTGAACAGACGCGGCGTTAGTGACGTTGTCAGTATTATAGTTTTGTTCGTGTTAGTGGCATTGTGATTAAGTTTTGTTAAAGACCTTGTCTAGTAGAGATATGTACTGACGTATTTATAGGAGAAACCTTCCGATATCTCAGATTTACTTTATACATGTAGTCAATGTACTCATAATCCAAGGATACTTCTAGGTGGTCCAAAATATAAAGGCTGGTAAGATGTGTTTTAATCAAAGTTTAAAAGAATAGTGAAAAACTAAAGACAATATTATGGGGTTTTTGTTCAAGGGTAAAGCCTTCGATTGTATGGTTTCCAGGCTAGCTTGCAGGAGTGAAATAGGTACGTTAAGGCCTCTCTTTGGGCAAGTTCAGGGACCGAATCTTAATATTGCTTGTAGACGCCCTTACCCCTGGAATGAAGACCACCCTATATAGTTCATTGCTTTGCAGTTGAAAGAAGTGAGGATAAGCTCACAGGGCTCCAGGGCCCTTTCCTCCTTAGGTTTCTTTGCCTCCCTTACTGAGCCTTTCCATGACTCCGATAGATAACTGGGCAGTATATCTCTGTTTTTCCGTGCCTTTGTTTCCTCTGATTGACTGTTTTTGGTTTTCCTACTAAGGTATTGCTTAACAGGATTCTCTTGGCATTTTGAATAAAACATTTTTTTGCTGTGTAAGACCAGAAGGAGCTTTAGGCTCTCTGGCACCTACTATTAAATGCAAGAGTACAGCCCGCCCCCATGTCACTGTGCTAACCTGAATCTCCAAATCCTCATGGCGGGCTGTTGTGGGGCGCCACCCCTTGGGAACACTGTACCCTTTGGGGAGCTGGTCTGAAAGAGCCTGCTTTTTCAAATACATGAGGATCATAGTAGTCATTGCTTCAGGCAAGAATTATCCATAGATGCAAAATCTATTGGATGAAAGTTAGTTGGTGAACAGGATATTCTCAGGTTATCTCCCCTCAGATTATAGATTAGTTGCAAAGGGGAAAAAGGTACCTTTCCTGTGAAGAAATCAGATGGGCTCTCCCTTATCCAAGGGACCACAGTTAACATCGCCAATGAAAGAATAGACGCCATGTGCCTCCTAATGCGATGCACCAAGAAAGAGACAGCGTCCCCTACGTGGTGTTTGTTCCTCCCCTCCAAATGCATAACTGAATCTAATTATGAGGGAATAATCAGACAAACCCAGATTGAAGAATTTACTACGAAACAACTGGCCTGCATGTTTCAAAAATGTCAGTGTCAAGAAAGAAAAGAAAGGCTAAGGAATGGTTCCAAATGAGTGGAAACTAAAGAAACATAACAGCTAAATGCTGCACATGCTCCTGGATTGGATCCGGAATCTGGGCAGGAATGCGATGAAGGACAGTTTTGGGCAAACTGACTATTTGAATATGTGCCGTGTATTAAGTAGTGGTATTATATATCAAAGTTATATTTCCTGAAGTTGAAAATCAAATTGTGGTTATATAAGAGAATGCCTCCATTCTTAAGAGATGACACATTGAAGTATTTTTGAGTTAAGGAACATGACGTCTGCAACTTATTCTCAAATGGTCCTGCAAAACAAGAAATTACGTATATATGTGAACATACATAAATGGCACAATATTAACAATGGGTGACTCTAGGTGAAGAATACATGGATGGTTATCATACTTTTCTGACAACTTCTGTAGGTTTATTACTTTTTTAAATAAGAAAGTTGGAAGTAAATATATCAAAGAAGAGGAACTTGAGCCTTCATCAACTACATGCTGCTTGCTGTTCCCATACTAAGCCAGAGCTTGTCCCTTTCCAGGTATCGGATTTGGAGGGATGCTGCCAACTGGCTGAAGATTAATCCTGACACTGGTGCCATTTCCACTCAGGCTGAGTTGGACAGAGAGAACTTGGAGCACGTGAAGAACAGCACGTACACGGCCCTCATTATAGCCACGGACAACGGTAAGGGTGCCCTTAGCATTTGGCGTTTGCTTCCTTGCCCCCATCCTTCTTTTAGAAGTATGAGTTCATTCTTTTTCCTTTATTCTTAAACAAAAGCATTCTCATTGTCAAAGATGCAAATAATTTAGGGGAAGCAGAAGTTCTTTTCACCACTCCTTCTCTATACTTCAGCCCATCCGTCCCCATGGGAGCCAGACTGCCTGGGTTTAGATCCTAGGACCAAGCTTAATACCTGTGTGAACTTGGACCTATTACCTAATCTTTATGTCCCTCAATTCCTTTATCTGACAAAATGATAATACCTCATCTGGATTAAATGAGTTAATTTATGTAAAAGTGCCGGAAGAGTGCCTGCTACATAGTCCATGCTTTGTAAGGGCTGTCATTTTTATCGTCAACATCACCATCATCATCATTAGTGAGGTATAGCTCCTTTCACACTGTTTCCATATATTTGAATACATTTAGAAATATAGTTTATTATAAAACCACTACCTAATTTATGGCCTTTTGTTGTTTTTATTATAAAAATCATTGTCTTAGTCATGTTTTAAATTTAAAAAAAAATTTTTTTTAATTGACAATATGCCTTTAGACACAGAGATCCACCTTGGCACGTTATTGATGTACCTCTTTAATAACGCGACCTTATGTGGACATAGCATCATTTAATCCTCACACCTTAAGGGACACTGGGCTTGTTTCCAGTTGTTCATTATCTCCATGAGTGATGAGTAAACAGCCTTGTACATGTCTCTATGTGCAAGCATTTCCCTTGGAAAGATATTCAGAAGCAGAATTACTGTTAAAGAGACCCGCTAGCTTCCCATGATTAATTTTCTTCCCTTCTCTCACCCCCCAGCATCCCAAGGTAGTAACTCCAGGTTTGACAATCTGGAAAGCAGAAGGGAGGGCAAGTCAGGGCATGATGGGGCTTCATCCGTAGAATGCTTTTGCATAAGGGGAGAGCTGGCCCATTGCTTCAGCTGCAGTGTTACACTGCCAGCTATGGCTGCACGGGAATTCCCTAGCCTGTCCAGGAGGTAAGTTGAGGAAATGGCAATATAACTAGGGTTGGCAAATTTTCTATAAAGAGTCAAGGCGTAAATATTTTAGCCTCTGCAGGCTGTGCAGTCTCTGTTGATGTTGTAGCCTAGAAGCAGCCATAGAAATCTGTAAAGGAGTGAGCATAGCTGTGTTCCGAATTAGGCCAGAAGGCCTTAGTGTGCTGACCCCTGACCTAATAATAAAGGCTAAGGTGTGGCAGTTCTGAATGATTCCTTCAAGTGTTACTTTGTGCATGAATCAACGCTTTTTACTGTAAGGTCTAAGAGGAGAATGAAAATCTGTCATATTTTCTATCAGAAAAATCGATCTGCTCGTTTAAATTTTTTTGTTTAATTATTTTTTAATTAGAAAAAAATTTAAATGACACCTGCTCATTGTTTAAAAAAAATTTCATGTGATAAGGTAAAAAGATCCATCCATGGATGAATAGATAAGCAAAGTATGTTGTATACATACAACGGAATATTATTCAGCCTTAACAAGGAAGGAAATCCTGTCACATGTTACAACATGGGCGAACCTTGAGGACAGTGTGCTAAGTGAAATCAACCAATCGCAAAAAGAAATACTATATGATTCCACTCACAGGAGGTATTAAAGTAGTGAAATTAATAGAAACAGAAAGTAGAATGGTGGTTACCAGAGACTGGGGCGGAGGGGGAATGGAGATGGGGAGATGTTTAATGGTACAGAGTTTCAGTTTTGCAAGATGGAAAAGTTCTGAAGATCTATTTCACAACAATGTGAACGTACTAACACTATTGAACTATACACTTAAAAATGGTTAGGATGGTAAGTTCTATGCTCTGTGTGGGTTTTTTTTTTTTTTTTTACCACAATTTTTTTTTTTAAAGATTAAAAGGAAAAAAATAATCTACAGTCTTGGCACCCAGGTATACCTATTTATAGGTTTGAGGCATATTCCTCTGGATTTTTTTTTTCTTCTATTATCTACTAATATTGATGATGATTCCTTGAGTATCTGCTTTATGTACTATCATATGCTAGGCGCTGTTTCAGGATGTAAAAGAAACGCAAACAGAAGTGTGTATGAACTTCCAAATTATTTTGAAAAGCAACTTGCTGCAATTTAAAAAGGCTCAGCCCTTTGATAATGACCTTAAAGCCATACAATTTCAGAAAAGGGAGAACTGGTGGCAATGAGGATTTCTTGGGGTGGTTAAAATTTAATGGATGGATAGAGTCATATGAAGAAGAGGAAGGAGGGTGTCCTTGGTGTGAGGAATAACTTCAATGATCGTTATCAAGGCAGGGAATAAGCAGGTCAGAGACCTGCCCAACCAGGACTGAAGATGCCCTGGGACTGGCCGGCCGGAGACTCCGTGGGCAGGCTGGGGCCTGGCGATGGACCCTGAAGAGCTAGGATGAGATTTGGATTCAGTCTGCTGGGAGGCAGGAGGGATTCGTCAACGTTCCTGAGCTGTGAGATTTCCTATGTATTTTCTTTTTAGGTTCTCCACTTGCTACTGGAACGGGAACCCTTCTTCTGATCCTCTCCGATGTGAATGACAATGGCCCTATACCAGAACCTCGAAATATGGACTTCTGCCAGAAGGATCCGCAGCCTCATATCATCAACATCATTGACCCAGATCTTCCCCCCAACACATCCCCCTTCACAGCAGAACTAACACATGGGGCAAGTGTCAACTGGACCATCGAGTACAATGACCCAGGTGGGAACTTGAGTCGCATTTTTGGAAACTTTGCTCTGCCCCTCGTGCTTCCCTGCTCCCAACCCTCCTCCTGAGTGTCTCTTCTCTTCTTCTAGATGACACCCCTTTTGTTTGTTGCTTGTTTCCTCATCCCTTCTACATTTGAGGTGTTCCAGCAAAGGTCCCTTTCCTCTCCTGGTACCTACCTCAGTGACGTACCTCCCAGTAATCTATAACCCACACAGCTCTGTTTTCTTTACTCAGCTTTGGAATGTCTTCAGTTCCCTAAGAATTTTATTCTAGAATGAACTTTTTTTCCTCCCCTGATCTCATAATTTATTTTTGTTGCTTCCTTCAGCCCACGAATCTCTTGTTTTGAAGCCAAAGAAAATCCTAGAGTTGGGTGACTACAAAATAAATCTCAAGCTCATGGATAACCAGAACAAAGACCAAGTGACCACCTTAGATGTGGCTGTGTGTGACTGTGAAGGGGCCGTCACCAACTGTGGGAGGAACAGGCAGGTTGCTGAAGCAGGATTGCAGGTTTCTGCCATTCTGGGGATTCTTGGAGGCATCCTTGCTTTGCTACGTAAGTACAGCTGGCAAGTGTTTCAGCCTCTGACTTCGAAAATGTCAGAGGTTTACCTCTTACTAAATATTTCAGAGTAAGTGGTGGAAGGGTGGAAGGCAGCCGTGTTCCATTAAGTCAACAGAGGACACTGTCCTTCTGTTTTGTTGTTCTTTCATCCCTAAGGGCAGTGCTTTCAAGCCCGAGTGCAAACAAGTCACCTGTTCTCTTTGTAACATGAGAATTCTGATCCAGTAGGTCTGGGGTGAGGCCTCAGATTCTGGATTTCCAGCCAGCTCCCAGATGCTGCTGATGTTGCAGGTCCTTGGACCGCAGTTGGAGCAGCAAGGCCTCAGGGTGCTGCCCTCGTCAGCATGGTCACAGCTAGCTGGCTCACCACCACCACCTCCACATTCTGTCCTGGAGGACGGATGACAGGGAGTGGAGGCGCTTATCTGGGAATTGCACGTTTCACCTCCACTCACGTCCCATTGGCCCAAACACAGCAACACCTAGTTGCAAGGGAGCCTGGAAGCTCCCACTCTTAACTGGGTAACCATCTGCCCACTTAAACCTTAGCAGGGGGTGGGGGTGGGGTGGAATGTGGGGTGAAGGATGAGAGAGCAAAAGCGTACTGGGGAAAGTTTGGCCATTTCTCTTATAATCCTTCAAACTGCTATCACCTGAGCCCACCTGTAGACTGAGCCCCTGGGCTGACACAGACGCTGTTGTGGTTTTGAAAAGCTAGCAGTGTCAAGTCGATTAGAAAACTTTCAAAGATAATGTAAAATTAGGGGCTGAAAATGGTGCTCCAGGTCATGAATGCCTTTGCAGTCAGAAGAGGGGGCTGCTAATTGAGTCTCAAGGAAGGTTTGGTGGAAGACATAGGACGATTGGCCAGAGGGGCTGGTGAAATCCAGATAGGCAGAGGGGCATTCGTGAAGGTTCCCATACATAGTGAAGGCACAGAGAGGGGAAGGCTGAAGGCTTAACTGGACTGTGTAGGGCGGAGAGGAGGCCAGCCTGGCTGGAGAAGAAGAAAGCTCTTAGAGGGAGCAGTGGGACCATCTCTGGGGCTTCCCATTTAGATTCGGCATGGGCCGGTTGATCCTGCTGCTCGCTGCTTCAGCAGCCTTGAGAAGGGGTTAACTTTTGGCCTTCAGGAAATGGTGGTGCTGTATTCCGTTTGCTCCTCCCCTCTGCTGCCTGTATCCTCTCAAAATGGAGAAGGAAGGAGAATGTTGGTGAGAATTCAGTGAGCCTTCTGGACTTTTGTTCCTTCAGGATTCACATGGCTCTACTGCCCCCGTGGGATTAGGTTAAGCTACCTTCCTCTGCCGTAACACAAGCCCTGCCTGCCCGCTGACTTCTCCCCCGAATTATATTTGAATGGGCCAGTCTGCTTTGGGGGCAGTGGTTACTGACTAGTACTGTCATTCTGAGGAAAATATTAAAGATCATAGTTAGACTTAAAATACTGACTTTTTAATAATAGCATTACTTAAATTTGATACAGGTATATTTCATTAGACACGGGGGCCCAGAACATTTCCCAATGTTCAAATGTGGAACAACATTTAAAGCAGAAGCTATGCCAGGATTCAGATTTCCAACTTCTTGTTCTTTATGGGCAAACACACAACTTACACTTCTAAAGAATGTTCTAGAGAGACACCAGGCTATGAAAGTTTTCATTTAGTCCATCAATATTCGATTGCTTATTTTGCACCAGGCTTTGTGTCAGACTCTGGGGATACTGGGGTTCGGCACAGCTGGGGTGGGGTGGTGCTTTCTGAAGTGATAAGAATATGCTATATTTTGGCTACTTTAAGTAACATTTAAGTAATGTTTGATAAGCGTCCTTCTGAAACAATAACCCGTGTCTGACTCTTGCTTGCTCTAAGCTCTGCGTGGCTGGGGACTGTTTGCATCTTGCGTTGTCTTCAGTGCTGTATCCTCAGTGCTGAGAGAGGCCTTGGCCCACCTAGCAAGTGCTCAGTATTCTGGTTAATGTTGCTTATCTCGATAAGGTCTTGCAATCTTTCTGATTACAGAAACAATAGGTAGGTTGAGTACTTGTAAGGAATCTTTTTCCCAAGTTCATGCAAGGACATATTTCAACGTAAAAACGCTTCACTAGGGTGTCATGTGTAGGTCCTTGGGCTGAAACATCTAGAAAGAAAACATTGAATCATATATTTTTCTCATTCACAATAAATAATTTAATATTTTTAAAAAATGTTAATCATATATCTCCTAGAAATATCCCAAGATCAGATGAAAAGCTTGGAAATTAAACAGATTTTAAAGCTTGCTTACATGATTTTATCTTAAGAGAAGATAAGGAATAGGCCAGGTGATTTTTAATAATCTTTGTCCACCCCCCCCCCCCCCCGCCCCGTAACTGATTAACAATAGTAAGCATGTATCAGTCATATTTAGGCAGACCTAGCCCTGCTCACAGCTCTTCAGTGGCTCTAACTCACTCAGAATCGAAGCCAAAGTCTTTCTGGTGGTCCCCATGTTTCTGTTGCCCCACTGAGCTCCTCTCCACCTCTTTTGCCCTCGCTTATTCTGCTATAGCCATGCTGACCTCGCCTTTCCTTAATCACATCAAGCATGCTCCTGCCTCAGGGCCTTTGCCCCTACCGTTTCCTCTGCCTGGAACACTTTCTCCCAGATTTGGGGATATGACTAATTGGTGTAAGATCCAGTTAAAGAGCACACTTGAATTCACATATAATTTCCCACTATGTTATACTGCATATATTAACTTCAGGAATATGAGTGTCACCATGTGGGTTGTCTAACAGCCATCTGTTTGGTCTACAAGGCAGTGGTGCTCTGTGATGCTGCTTCTTATGGCCTTTTGACCTGTGGCTCTCATCATTGTCTCTTCCCCTCTGCAGTCCTGATTCTGCTACTTCTGCTATTTCTTCGGAGAAGAGGGGTGGTCAAAGAGCCCTTACTGCCCCCAGAAGATGACACCCGGGACAATGTTTATTACTATGATGAAGAAGGAGGTGGAGAAGAAGACCAGGTAGGTTTTTAAAACTGTGATAAAAAGCTTCATTCTCTTTATTTGGAAGAAGCCATGATCAGGAGAGGGCAGACATTTGAAATAGCTCTGTGTCACTTTGTACATATATATATTTTTAAGGCCTTACCTAAGAAAATAGACATTGTCATTGGCTCTCATGATTAATATAACATTGCTAACATTTACTGATTGCTTACTGTTCTGCATCCAGTTGAATGAACAGAGGCACAGAGCGGTTAAGTAACTTGCCCAGCATCACACAGCTAGGGAGAAGTAGAACCAGGTGGTCTGACTCCAGAGTCTACTTTCCTCACCACTATTCTCAGGACATGAACTTCACATTATCTTTGACAGAAAGCAACTGATCTGTTTTAATATTTTGTTTCCCTTGAGTTTTTGGCTATGCCAAACTGTTTTTTGTAGATGTTAAATCTTTAGGCCTTCCTTATTTTCCCTGATTTGGGAGATGGTCTTAACTTGCATTCCCTTAGAGTTTTCTGGGGAATTTTTGGAAGTTTCCTCTGTTTAGAAAGGAAACCATGGGACCCATCACAGTGTCTTGCGTTTGACTCAGGCCACGCAGTGCGGCACATTTGCTGAGCTCTGTGGTCTGGAAGAATGGCCATTGATCAGAATTTCAAGGCTTGCTTTCTACAACCTAGAGGGGGTGTAGGGAAAGATAAGACATGGTTCCAGATTTCAAGGTGCTTCTAAGTCTGGTCGGGGCAGTACCAGATATACTGTATCAGTGAGCCATTCCCACAGTAATGCTGTGTAACCATCAACCCCAGAATGACAATGGTGCACAATAATCAGCATGTCTTTCTTATGCCTTTGTGGGTTAGTCGGGAGAGCTGCTGATCTCAGATAGCATCTTAGTCTCTTCAGGCTGTTGGAACAAAATACCACAGACAGGGTGCTTATCAACAAGAGAAATTCAGTTCTCACAGTTCTGGAGCCTGGGAAATTCAGGATCAAGGCTGGCAGGTTTGGTGACTAGGAAGGGCCTGCTTCTTGGTTCACAGACAGCCATATTCTCCGTGTCCTCACATGGTGGAAGCGGGTGAGGGAGCTCTCAGGTGTCTTTTATAAAGAAGGACACTAATCCTTTTCCCAAGGGCTCCATCCACCCTCGTGACCTAATCACCTCCCAAAGGCCCCAGCTTCAAATACGACCACGTTGGGGATTAGGTTTCACCAGGTGAAATTTGAGGGGACACACACATTCTGTCGATGGCAGCTAGGCTCACAAGAATCTGCAGGTTGGCTGGGGCTCAGCTGATCTAGGCTGGGTTTGGCTGAATGGCTCTGTATTGCAAATCGTGTCCAGGACTGCCCTGTGCAATTCTCCTCATCTTTGTATCAGCAGGCTAGTCCAAAGTGCATGTAGAGCCTTTGCCTGTGTCACATGTGTTAATGTCCCATTGGCCAAAGCAAGTCATATGACAAAGACCAACATCAATGGATTTCAGTTCTTCTTCTTTCTTTTTTTTTAATTTTATTTTTTAAAATATTTTATTTTTCCTTTTTCTCCCCAAAGGCCCCCTGGTACATAGTTGTGTATTTTCAGTTGTGGGTCCTTCTAGTTGTGGCATGTGGGATGCTGCTTCCGCATGGCTTGATAAGCGGTGCCGTGTCCATGCCCGGGATCTGAACTGGCAAAACCCTGGGCCACAGAAGCAAAGTTCGTGAACTTAACCACTTGGCCACGGGGCCGGCCCCCTTCAGTTCTTCTCACAGGATAGGGAGGGAAGGGAGTGACTATTTGCTGAATAATAATCTAATAATTATACCCTATGAAAAGTTAATAAGGTACAAGGTCTACATCCATACCCACAAGTGCTCCTCACAATCCTTTTAAGCTGTATTTTCTTCCAGTGCTATTTTGGAGACTGTTAGGTTGAAAGCTGTCATTTCAGATTACAATGTCCCATACTTGTAAATATACAGTGGATAGTTAAGGCATTATCCAATACCATAATCTATAAACCAAATACAGCCCTGTGTTTCTGACTGTTTCCTTTTTTACTCTTTGCTGTACTTTTACCTGTTTCTCCAAAGGACTTTGACTTGAGCCAGTTACACAGGGGCCTGGATGCTCGGCCCGAAGTGATTCGCAATGATGTGGCGCCAACCCTCTTGAGTGTACCTCAATATCGGCCCCGCCCAGCCAATCCTGATGAAATTGGAAACTTCATTGATGAGGTAAGTAAGCAAAGTCAAAAGCCAACGTGCAGCTCATCTCTAAACTTAGAGAGGAGCAGTTGTGTCAAAAGTGAGGAAAAGTCTTTGGATTCTTTCCTTTACCGTGTTTTCACCTTGCCTGATCCCTGAGCCCTATTTTTTTGTGTCTCATCTGAATTTCAGAACTCATGGCTCTTCGAATTTTCTTAGTGATTTTGCAAAGCCCATATGGCAAAATCAAGAGTTGCTTGGAAGGATTTAGTAGAACTAGAAATGAAACCATAAAGAGATTCAAAGCAGGTCCAATTTAGTTTCACTAATGGGTCTCTTTTCCCCTGCATCCCACTGCTGGTTGGGATGTAATGTTAAATGTGTATCACAAGTCTACCTGAGGGCTAGAAAAATAGCATTCATATTGTCTATGTCAGAAATGTATTCGACTATAAATACCAGAGGCTTAGATAGGGATAGATTTACCTCGTGCAAATAGAAGGCTGGGGTAAGCAGTCTAGGCTGATGCATCAGCCTTTTCTACCTTTCTGCTACATGATCCAAGCATGTAGGTCCTTCTTCTCATGCTTGTTGCCTCATGATCACAAGATGGTTGCCACACTTCCAGGCCTTATGTCTGAATTACAGTAAAGAGTAGAGGGTAAAAATCTTTATTCTAGTAAACTGTTATGTAAGAAAGGAGTTCATCCTACATGTTGTTTGCCAGAACTACCACAAGATTGTCCCTATTTGTAAGGGAGGATGAGAAATAAGACATTAAATTAAATAGCTTAGGGTAAGATGAGGAAGAATTGGTTTTGGGAATGAGCAAAGAACCAAGTAAGATAATAGTCCAGCGGGATCTGTTTCCTTAAACTGTGTTACCTAATCACTTGCTCAGTTATTAGAATGATTTTCAGGGCTTGTCTGATGGTCCAGTGGCCCTCGGCGAGTCTTCATGGTGGGGGCTGGTTTTGCTTTAGCTTCCCATGGGAGTCGTTGTCACCAAGAACTCCACAAAGCACAGCAGTGTTGGAAGTGACAAAGCCGCATCTATTCTAGCCACTAGACCATCAGTGACTCAGAGAAAATCTCATGGTCTTACAGCAAATTGGGAAGAGGAAAGGCCAGTTTAAGTCAACTCTTTTAGATACATCTGACTTGAGGTCCTCTCTCCCACTCTCATTCCCTTGTGTGTCATCATATCTGATTGTAGCTCTTTTTTTAACTACAAAAATAATATGCTTGCTATATTAAAAATATAAATTATGAAAATGTATGTAAAGGGAAAAAATACAAATCCTTCCTTAGTTCCCCCAACCATACTCATATCAGAGTTAACTGTTAACAGCTGGCATTCATCTTTCCAGACCTTTCCAGGAGGAAATGCTGTATAGACGTTTGACTGTCTTCATTGTTTTCAGCCTCTGTTCATCCTGATTGGTTCGTGCTTCTATATTCCCTGACTACATATAATTACCACTGCATTCTGCATATTTTCCCATAACTTTCTCTTCTCATCAATAATATATCATGTCCGTCTTCCATGCCAGTTTGTATTAATTTACCTTATTGCTGTTAATTGCTCCTGGTTTCTACAGGATGGTTGCATTGTTGTGCGTTAAATGTTGCTTGACACCACAAGAAGGCATCTTGCCTATGATGACGGTTGTCCAATTCCTTTCATTGAAAGAGCCTACTGTCTTCCTTCTTCTTTAGAACCTGAAGGCAGCCGATAGTGACCCCACTGCCCCCCCTTACGACTCTCTGCTCGTGTTTGACTATGAAGGAAGCGGTTCTGAAGCTGCTACTCTGAGCTCCCTGAACTCCTCGGAGTCGGACCAAGACCAGAACTACGACTACCTGAACGAATGGGGCAATCGCTTCAAGAAGCTGGCGGACATGTACGGAGGTGGCGAGGACGACTAGGGGACTCGAGACAGATAGGGAAAGAGATGGGTCCCTATACTCATGGGATGGCAAATGCAGGAATAATGTTTCTGGTTTTTCAGTTCCCTTCACTTGAGATGAGCTTCTGGGGAAGAGAGACTGATCAGTGAGGTAGTTAGGATAGTTAGGATTTCCACTTTATAGATCTAATCTGTGTCTTAGAAAGATTTTGACTTATTCCTTGAATCTTTTTGTTCTTTCATCATTCCGTACATGGTGATGATGTCCAAAAGACCCCCAAATGTCAATATTTCAAAAGAATAGCTTCAACCTTAGAAGGTTCTGCTAGCAACTGGTGGATTTCCTTAAGGGCTTTGTCTCATTTTTAAAAGGAAGCGGAGGGGTCAACTGCCCTATTGTTTCATATATACAAAAAGTTATTTTTAATTCATGTGTTGTTTTTTTTTTCTCCTATCACTGCACTGATGTCCCATGTTCTGATATCCTGTTCTACTCCTTCTGAATTGACATCGTTCCTGACAGGAGCTCTCTGATGCAGAAATCATTGGGTCCTTGTAGGGCAATAGCCTTGTGTCTTAGTCTGGCCATATCTTAAGCCCTTTAACGGTTTTCCTTTTTCATCTCCTGAGTAGGTAACTTGAAATGGGCATCCATTCATAGTAAGAATGTTTGTTATGTGAATGTTATTATGGGTACTTTGGTTCTAAACAGGGAACTTGACCGGAAAATGTGATGAGTTTTCAGGTGCCACTTAACTGTTAATGTTCATTCATCATAAAACAAGAGTGATACATTCCGAGACTCAGGATAGTGCCTAAAGCACTGCACCCAAAGACAGAAGGCAGCTTGTCACAGCAGAGGGGAAACATGGAAACGGGGCTTGGAGATGGTGGGAGAGATTGTCATTGAGCCTGACAATTTACCAAACTGAGAGTGAAGATGCTTAAAGTGGCATTACCTCCAGCCCTGAAAATTCTGGAAGAATGGAGGAATCTCAACATGTCTTTCCTACCAAGAGCCTTATACTGTGGTTTGTGTCTGAAGCCCAGAATCTCCAAGTGCCTGCCTTTGTTGACATCTACAGAAAATGCTGGCTGATCTGGACACATTTGCCCCAAATTTCTTAGGAGCAGGAAGAAAACACTGTTTTGAAGGGTGTTAGCAAGGGGAGGTATGGAGGTAGGGGGAACCTTGATTTGGATCTTCTTTAGGTTGAAATGCGACCTTCAAGAAACTTGACAACCACAGAAAAGAATTTTATTTAAATTGCTTTACTGTCTGTCAGCTGTTTTTAGAAGAAAAAAAATCATCCCTACAATCACTTCTTGGAATTGTCTTGCTTTTTCAACAATTTAAACTCTATCTAATGTAGTTCTGTGTAGTAAATGTCACTACTAAATGTCACTACTAAATGTAGTTTTGAGTGTATATGTGTGTGGGTGGTGATAATTTTGTATTTTCTTTGGGGGTGGAAAAGGAAAATGAGCTGAGAAAATTATTCTTAAATATTCATTTTTATAAATTTTATTAAAGAATTTTGTTAAATCATTGTCAAACTTGTTTTATTTGATGACACCACAATTTCAGGCAAGACAAATGGTAGATGATCTCAGCTGAAACATGGAGAAGGAAGCTTCATATTAAAATGACTTCTCTAGAACTTTGTGTCATTCTGTTGGGGCAGAATGAGGGGAAATTTCATTCACAAAGCATATGGCATGTGGTGAAAAAAATTCCCTCGTCAATGGGAGACTGCTGTGGGCTGAGCTGAGGGACAGAAGCAGAGCTTCAAACAAGACTTAGTCAGTCAGCAAAGTTAGTATAGACCAGTGGTTCTCCACCAGGGAGGACTGCGGCCCCCTCCCCCAGGGGGGCATTTGGCAATTTCTGGAGATACTTTTGATTGTCATGACTGGGGAGGTGCTACTTGGAGTCCCTGTTTTCATTTCTGGTTTTATACCTGATGCCGGCCCTGATGTCAGCTCCCCTACATTAAACCCAGTATATATGGGGTAAAAACCAAAGCACTCTCCCTGCTTACTCTGGCTCCCTGACTTCAGAATCCACTATCCATCATGGAGACAAATGGCCAAGGACAGCCACCTGGATTCCTTATTATCTCTTCCTTCCTGCAAACAGCCTCCCAAGGCTGAATGCAGGCTGGTGGGAAAGTTCCGACCAGCAAGGCCACTGACTCCCCCCGCATCTACAAGCAGCCACATTCCTCACAAACCTTTAAAACCCCTTGTCTCCCCTCTTTCTGGGAGACGAGATGAAATGAGACAAATTTGAGGGCTCACTCTCATCTCCTTCCTAGCTGATGTCATCTGAAATAAAAACCCTTTCCTTGCCGAAAGCCTGGTGTTCCAGTTCTTATTTGGCCCCTCTTATGTGGAGGCTAAGGAATCTGTTTGTAGGCACTAACATACCTAGGAGTGGAATTGCCGGGTCATATGGTTAAATCGATGTTTAGCTTTTTGAGAAACTGCCAATGTATGAACTTTGATTGGATCCTGGAGTGAAAATGAAAAAAACTATAAAGTACGTTCTTGGGAGAGTTTAATATGGATCTAATGGTAGATATCCCGAATGAATATTAATTGTCTTGGGTATAATATTGGTGACATGGTTTACTAGGAAAACCCTTACTTCTAGGAGATAAATAATGAAGAATTTAGGGATAAAGTGTTATGATGTCTGGAAATTAACAAAAAAGCATGTATCGAGAGGTAGCACAAAAGCAAATGTGGAAAATGTTCACAATGATTGAATCTTGTATATAAGTGTTCATGTGCTGCTCTTTCATTTTTTCTTTAGGTTTAAAATATTTCAAAATAAAAAGCTGAGTAGAAATAAGCCAAAAATGAACCCTCACATATATGGTCAAATGATATTCTACAGGCTGCTGAGACCATTCTATGGGGAATGGACAGTGTTTTCAACATATGGTGCTGGGAAAATTTTGGGTGTCCACATGCAAAAGAATGAATTTGGATCCTTACCTAACACCACCTACAAAAGTTAACTCAAAATGGATCAAAGACTTAAATGTAAGGGTTAAAACTGTAAAACTCTCAGAAGAAAACAAGGGGAAAGCTTCATGACATTGGATTTGGCAATGATTTCTTGATATGACCAAAAGCACAGGTAACAAAAAACATAAATTGGACTTCATTAAAATTAAAAACTTTTGTGCATCACAGGACACCATCAACAGAGTAAAAAGGTTACCCACAGAATGGAAGAAAATATTTGCAAATCATATCTAATAAGGTACTACTATCCAGAATATATTTTAAAAACTTAGCAAAAAAACAATTCAGTTCAAAAATTGGCAAAGGATTTGAATAGATGTTTCTTCAAAGAAGATATACAAATGGCTAATAAGCACTATAAAAGACTTCAACATCACTAGGGAAATGCAAATCAAAACCACAATGAGATACCACTTCACATGTAGGATGGCTATTAGAAAAAAAAACATGTTGGCAAGGATGTGAAGAAGTTGGAACCCTTGTGTATTGCTGGTGGGAATATAAAATGGTGCAACCTCTGTAGAAAACTGAGTTCTTAAATGAGCTGAACATAGAATTACCATATGACCCATCAATTCCACTTCTGGGTATAAACACAAAAGAATTGAAAGTAGGACTCAGATATCAGTACACCCGTGTTCATTGCAGCATTATTCATAGTAGCCAAGAGATGGAAACAACCCAATGTCCATCAATGAATGAGTAGATAAATAAAATGTGGTTGATACATGCCACGGAATATCATTCAGCCTTGAAAAATGAGAGAAGTTGTAACACCTGCTACAACATGGGTAAACCTTGAAAATATGATGTTAAGTCAACTAAGCCAAACACAAAATAACAAATATGATTCTGTTTAAATGTGATACCTAGAATAGTCAAATTCATAGAGACAGAAAGAGATTGCCAGGAGCTGAGGAGAGAGGAATGAGGAGTTATTGTTTAATGGGTACAGAGTTTCAGTTTGAGGCGGTGAAAAAGAACTGGTAATGGTTCTTAATGCCACTGAATTATACTTAATGCCACTGAATTATACACTTAAAAATGGTAAATTTTATGTTAGACGTATTTTACCACAATAGAAAAAGGAAAAAATATAATGAAGACAAAATTGTTCTATAAAGAATGAAATGAAACTGTTTATAGAGTACCTACCATGTGCAGAAGGCTGTGCCAGCAGGGAAATGTGACTTCTGAAAAGGGCTACAGAGAAGGTGGCTGCAGCCAGCCAGGATCCTGGCTGATGGGAGGCCTGGAGAACAGTGCCTCTTTCTCGCTGGTTCTGTAGGTACTGACGAGGCAGCATGTAGGTAAGACCCCAAGATGTTGAAGCCGCACTGCCTGAGTTCAAATCCTGGCTCTGTCCTTTCCAGCTGTGAGCTTAGACAAGTTACTTAAGCTATCTCTACTTCAGCTTCTTTACCTCCAAAAGGAGGACAACTGTACCCACTTCATAGGGTTGTGAGCACTAGCTGAGTTGACATGGATAAAGCATTTGGAAGAATGCCCAGCTCATGATAGTGCTCTGTTAAATGTTAGCCTTTACTTTCGTTATTGAGTAAGGGGCACAGCAAGGGAGTTTTGGGTGGAGAGAATCATTTAAGCAAAAGCAGGTTTTTAGGAGAGAAAAGGCCAAGCATTCCATTTTGGACTGGATTTAGTGGGTCAGATAGAACTACTGAAGTGTTTTGAGCAGAATGTGATCCCAAGTGGTGTTCTGTGAAGGTGTATCTGTTTGCCAGGATGATGAACAAGTCTGGGGAGGGGACCATGGATAGTGAGAGCCCCTGGGAGTTGAAATAAATCAGGATGAAAGGATCCAGAATATACCACCGTGAAGAGGTTCTTTTTCTGGACTTCCCTCATCTGCCTAGAGGCAGAGCCTCCCAAAAGCATTCAAGTCATAAACCCCTTCCTCAAGAGTTTTAAACCAGGGAGGATTGACTCCTATCAGCTGAGACTAGAAGTTGGCACCACTGAGATAAGAAATCACCTAAACTCAGCCAACTCTGATGGCCTAGTGGTTAGAGTTCAGCACGCTCCACTTCAGCGGCCCAGTCCTAGTTCCCAGGCACAGAACCACATCACTCATCCCTCAGTAGCCATGCTGTGGCCATGGCTCATATAGAAGAACCAGAAGGACCTACAACTAGAATATACAACTATATACTGGGGTTTGGGGGAGGGAAAATAAGTAAAATTGAAAAAAAAATCATCTAAATGGATATTGTCACAATACTATCATCTCTCCCATCTATTCTCCCAAAGGTTCATTAATCTTTCCTGAATCACTTATTTTCCTGTAAGTGCCCTTTCTCCCTCTCCCCTGATCCTATTAAGATGGCATATAAACCCCAAATTCAAGTCACCTCTTTGAGACACATTCTTCTGGGAATTCTCTTGGAGCAAATAAAAATCTGTCTTTTCTCTTGCTAATCTGTCTTTTGTCAGTTTAATTCACATGCCTCCAATTCAGAATATAAGAGGGTGGAGGGAAAATTTTTCCTCTCTGAGAAGGATCTGATTGATGCTAAGGGAAGTGGTAAAACAAAGAGAAAAACTTTCATTTAAAATAAATGATGGGGCCGGCCCCGTGGCGCAGCAGTTAAGTTTGCACGTTCCGCTCATCAAGCCATGCTGAGGTGGCATCCCACATGCCACAACTAGAAGGACCCACAACTAAAAATATACAACTATGTATCAGGGGGCTTTAGGGAGAAAAAGGAAAAAAAGAAAAAAGAAAAAAATATTTAACAGTCTATTAGTTTGATTTATACTTTAAAATATTTAAACATATGGTCTGAGAGCCTCCACTTGTATTTTTGTCCCAATCCCCACAAATTTTAGGGATGGGGCTTTCCCACACAAAGCTTTATACCCATTTCACTAAATGTTTGAGATCTCGAAATGACCTTAAAATTTTTTTTCCCCCAAATGGACTTTGGTCCACACACATAACTGAAGAAAAACTGTCTACTGGCAAAGCCTGGAATGGGATATGCACAATGAGAAGAGTGTTATGGTAATTTTGTAGGTCATTTATTGCCCCTCCAAAAATGTTTCTCCAATTTAAAGACGTTTTGGCAGGATTTTATTTGAGGAAGAGATGGAGAGAAAGATACAGGAACAATTTATTAAGCATTCCTTCTGTGGCAGATGTTGCTAAATACTTGAGAGCAGTATCACTTAAACTCCTCAAGATAGGCTTCTGAAAAATGGTTCTGTTAAATTCTTAGTTTAGAGAGCAGGAAATGGTTGATGGATTTGGGCTGGAGCCCAGAGACCTGGGAGTGGTCAGGAGAGGGCCTGACTGACTGAGAAAGAGTTAAATGAATAGCTTCTTTCCCCGGTGGCATGGGCTTGGAGCAAATCCTGCTCCCCAAGACTTCCAGCAGCTAAATGCTGAAGGGCAGTCATCAGTCATGAACTCAGGCTAGCTGGGGGGTCTTGGGGAGAAGCAGGACAGCCTCTTAGGGAGCACTTTGGCAAAGTGGGTGGTGGGGGTGGTTGTGACAATGATGTGAGAGGCAGGCATGTGAAAGGTCTTGCCCTCAGAAGCATTGTTCTAGGTTTGCAGCATGACTTTCAGACAACATGACTTTTAAAATGTCTCACCAGGATTCAGGCAGGTGAAAACCTGCTGTGATGATCTGAATCTCAAACCCACTGTGTTTTACATATTAACACAATTTGAGGGGTAGGGGTGCGGGCATGATTTTAATATACACTTAATTTTCCAGGAATGCATGTAAATAGAGCAAAGATAGAATTTTTACTGGGAAGTTCACTAAGTCCATTTCAAAAATTATATCACCAATATCAACATTTGTAGTAGTTGTATTCACAATGGATGTGTGTGTTTCGTACTTACTTTTAAATATCACTAATAAAGAAATTCAACAATATTCAGTTGCATATTTAGTTTTACATATCTAAACTTTACTATAAGCAGATGCAGCATCTGTTTACTTCACTGTCTTTTAGCGTTTCCGTACCCTAATATTTTCATACTGAAATACTTTTATTTCATGATAAACTACTTCTCTCTTCCTCCTTTTTTTTTAGATTTTCAAAATTTTCCATTTTCTCCCCAAAGGCCTCTGGTACATAGTTGTATATTTTTAGTCGTGGGTCCTTCCAGTTGTGGCATGTGGGACGCCGCCTCAGCATGGCACCGCGAGTGGTGCCATGTCCGCACCCAGGATTCCAACCCGCGAAACCCTCGGCTGCTGAAGCAGAGGGCACGAACTTAACCACTCGCCCCGGCTGGCCCCACCTCCTCCTTTATATATCAGTTGATCATACTGAGTTCCCGAAATTGTGCGTGTACGCAGGTTCTGTTAGCATGTTGCTTCTTTCCAGAAGAGTGAAGCAGGCCTGAGAACTTATTTGTACAGGGGGCGTTCCCGACCGAGTTGGCCCCGCCCCCGCCTCAGGCCCCGCCCACAGCACCTCCTGCCACCCTCAACATGGCGGCGGTGCCGGTCCGCTCAGGCGCCTGAGCAGGTCGCAAGTGGCGCGTTCCACTCCCGTCATGGCGGACCCCCGACAGGCCAGCGGCAGCGGGGCTCTGGAAACATGCTGTCTGGAGCGGATTTTGGAAGCGCTGAAGCTGCTGCTGAGCCCGGGAGGTGAGAGGACGGATATGGGCGCCGGGCCGCTCCCGGGATTCTCAGGGCCGCCAGTCTTGCTGGGCCGCCCTGCCGCCCACAGCGTGCGCCCCTCAGGCCCTCCCGGGACCCCCGCCCTCAGGCCGCCCCGCCCCGGCTCTGGGGGCTTTGGGCATTGTCAGTCCCTTGAGGAAACCGAGGCTCAAGGAGGGATGGGATGCGTTGAATACTGATCCTAACCGACGTGTCTTGAGCGCTTACCTTGTGCCGGGCGCCGTGTTAAGCGCCTGGGGACCTGGTTTCCCCCATTCCTCACTGCAGCCCTCGGAGGCGGGGATGCGGAAACAGCTTCCGAGAGCCGGGCGCTCCTGACGTGGAAAGTGAGGGCCAGCCTCTTGAAGGCGCGGGGGCCAAAGGGGACCCTGGAGGTTGGTACAAAATGCCAAGGAGTCCAGAAAAAGGAAGCAGTGACGTTTAAGCTGGGTTTAGGGAGCGTGTTTAGGGATTTACAATCACTTTTAATCTTTTGTAGTGAGGACGAGAGCTTCCCAATTTAGAGTCTGAAGGGACCTTGGGAGTGGGTTAGCCTGGCCCTCTCCTTGAACAGCCGAGGACACCCAAGGCTCACTGAAGGGAATAGTCACGTGCCCAAGATCGTGTGGTCAGATTAGGGGCGGAACACGGACCTAGAACCGAGGTCTGCAGAACCCCCTTCTCAGACCAAGGCAGATTATTCAGTATGGAGCCTCTGCTGTTATCTGGAGCTTTGAGAACGGACGCAAGAAATAGGGCTACGCTTATAATGAGAGTGTGTGTTGTGGAGAACGGGGTTTGTAGCGTGAGCGAAGTAAGGTACGTGAAGGGCCGTGAGGTGATGTTCCAAGTCTCAAATTTTGAGATAACCCCTAAACTGCAAAAACTCCTGCGACTATTGTACCGTACCGGGGGAAGTGAAAGAAGTTATTAACAACAGTAATCGAGTGCCTACGAAGTATCGGTCCCTATAGTATGCTGTTTACGTATATATCGTTTCATTCTCCCGACAATCCCACGAGATAGATATTACTTGTATTCCATTTTACGGATGAAGGAACCAAGGCATTGGAACCAAGTACAGTGGAAAATGCCCCATGTCAATCTAATAAGTGGCAGAGCCAGAATTTGAGCTCAGGTGCCTTTCCCTATAGTTTGGTAACGATACTGTATGTTCCCAGTGAAGAATTAAACTGCAAAATACAGTTCTAACTTGCTAATTGAGAGGTCGCTTGTCTGGCAACTGCAGCTGTCTAGAACGTGACTGAGAACAATGCTAAATAAGCAAAAAGTCTGGAAGTAATCCTCTATCACAAAGCACATATACCTCATTTATAGAAGACCCTCTCTAAATCTTGAAGAGTTATGTCGTGGAGTTACATAAATGTAGTCATTTAACAAGCATACGAATTTAAAAAGAGTAAGTAATGTGGTAAAATGATCATATTTTGCACACGTAGTCTATTCTATATTGTGTGAATCTGCCTGCTGTTTTATCATAGCTGCTGAGGAGATTAAAAAGTACCCATGCATAATGAATCTTCAGATGTCCCTGATGGACAGAGGCTATTGAGGAGACAGGATGAAAGTATTGGTTAAAATTACCTCCAGCTTAAACTTTTTTTGATCTGTCTTTAGATTGGCTCCCCTTACTGAGAGTCGACTGTGTATAGTATTTTATCCTCAGTGCTATGGGAGATACAAAAATATATAACCACTGGTGCTCTGAAGCGTCTTGTTCGTTTGGGGAGATGGTACCATACATTTAGACCAAAAGATATTCAGCATGGCAGGATAACACTCGCGATGAATGGATGGTACAGATATCAACTGGATAGAGAAGGAGTTATCCAGGGGTGGGGCTGTGGAAGGCCGCAGGAGGAAGAGGAATTGAGTCTAGGTGGAAATTAAATAGAAGGGAAGGAAGATACCAACAATCTTTCACTTTGGAGCCATCGACAGTTGTGCTGCATTAAGCATTTTCTCTTCTCCTGTCTTCCATTTCTGTTCTCAGTCACAGGGCAAATAATGATATCTCCACCTCCCTTGTTAGGAATCATGGAAGAAGAATTTGAAAGGGGTTTGTCAATTTTAGGTAACTTTTGTTTGTGAAAAATGGAGGCCATCTCAGCAATAGCTTTCCTAAAAAGTAACTTTCCATACTAAATATAGATTCACTGAACTCTGTCATTAAATTTGAATTACATCGGGGAGAAGGGGCTGCAAATTCTGATCGTTTGCAAGTAATGCGCCTGTGTCACACTTATTCTCGCGTGCCATATTGCTTTGCACTTTGAACTTAATAAAAAGTACCACTCAAATTGTGACATCTGCTTTTAAATGTCACAAAGCATAGGCACTGAAATTGGTGAATGCGAAGAACAGACAATGCTGTTCGTGAGGGCAGCATTTCCCCAAGTGTGATAGGGACGGCTGTAGGTGGTGTGTAAACATTTGAGGCTGAATAGTGTAGTGTAGTGACGAGAGAGTGGGCTCTGGAGCCAGACTGCCTGAGATGAATATTGCCCTGGGGCAAATAGCTGAACCTTAGTCTCCTCATCTGGAAATAAGAATAATAGTGTAATAATCCCTATCTCACAGAGTTGTCGTGAGGATTGAGTTAAAGACGTAAAGCACTTAGAACAATGTATTAGCTATTACTAATTTAAGTTTTAAAAAATGGTTTAATTTGAAGAAATAATTAAATGAATAAAACAAATAACACAGCTGGTACTCAGGTAAATGGCAAAAATTGTGGAAGCACTATTTGATTGAAATTTGGAAAATATTGTTTTGTTTTGTTTTTTTTGAGGAAGAGTAGCCCTGAGCTAATTACTGCCAATCCTCCTCTTTGTGCTGAGGAAGACTGGCCCTGAGCTAACATCCATGCCCATCTTCCTCTACTATATACATGGGACATCTACCACAGCATGGCTTGCCAAGTGGTGCCATGTCCACACCCGGGATTCCGAACCAGTGAACCCCGGGCCGCCGAGAAGCGGAATGTGCGAACTTAGCCGCTGAGCCACCAGGCCAGCCCCCGGAAAACACTGTTTTAAGGCAGCAGATCTCAAACTATTTGGTTTCAGCACTTTTACACTCTTAAAAATGGTTGCAGACTTAAAAGAGCTTTTATGTGGGTTATGTATATCAATATTTACTATATTAGAAATTAAGTCCTTAAGAGAAACCTTTTGAATTTATTTAAAAATAACAATAGTAAATCCATTACGTCTTAACATAGTGACATTCTTAATGAAAAATTTATTTTGCAAAATAAAGGAACAGTGGGAAGAGCGGCATTGTTTCACATTTTTGCAAATTTATTTAATTCTGGCTTATAAGAAGACCACTGAATTTTCATATTTGTGTCTCCATTCAATCTGTCATGACAGGTTGTTTAGATTGAAATAGATGAAGAAAATCTAGACTCAAGTAGATATGTAGTTGAAAAAGGGAGGAGAATTCAATCGCTTTGAGATAATTGTCTATATTCTTTTATTCTGGACTAAAACTCAACAAGAGGTAATTTCTTAAAGGTTAGTTGAACTCAATGAACTTTCATACTTGGTACACTCATAAGAGAAAGAGAGTGTAAAAGGCAAATAATGTGTTAGTATTAATGTGAACGTAGCTTTGACCTTGCAGATTCCCTGAGAGAATCTTGGGAAAATCCTTGAAACCTGAGTCCCTGTATCACACCTTGAGAACTGCTTTAAGGAAACACCTTTATTTATTTTCAAGTAGATTTTATTTTTATCACCAGTAGAGGGCAGAGAAGTCTGCTTTATTAAGGGGCTCTTGAAAAATTTAGCTAATAGTTTTTGTTTTAAATCTCATTCTTTGTGTCCCATGTTTGGTTTCAAAGATCTTAGGAAGTCACAGAAAGTCACTTAAGAGGTTGTTTAGGGATCTCAGTGGTTAGTGGCAACAGGCTATAAGAGCACTCATTCCCTTTTTAGGTATATAGTAGCCAAAGGAACCAGATATTCATGCCAGTGGGTCAGAACACTTGCCCTGGACAGTCCTAGAGAAGTACTGGAAAATTCTTACTCTTCTGATTCTCATTATTTTTACAGAACAATATTATTATTCCTTTTTATTTTACTAGAAGTAATGTTCCTTATAGTAAAGCTTTAAAAAATATGGAGAAACTAAAAGAAGAAAACTAAAATAATCTTAATCTCACTATCCAGAGATTATATTTTGGGAAATATTATTTTTCTTCTTGACAAAAATGGTCTCATATACTACCTACTGTTTTATAACCTTAAAATAACATTTTTAGTACAGAAACAATACATATTCACTGTAGGAAAAAAATTTAAATATAGTTAAGCAAAAAAGAAAAATCACTCAAAACCCCACCACCCGGAGACTGTCACTGTTAATACTTTGAAGTGTCACTTTCAGACCCTTTTCTGTGTGTGTGTGTGTATATACACATATACATGCATATATTTTAATACAGTTGGGTTCATATTGTTCCTTTATTGACAGATTTTCAGAATAATAACTTGGTGTTTTAGCAATTTCCAAAGGTAGCCAATTTAGTGATTTCTTTTTGTTTTATTATGAACTAAGATTTTTTTTTTGTATATGTGACAGATTTCAATTATTGTACTCATTCCTTTCTTTTTAAGATTTTATTTTTCCTTTTTCTCCCCAGAGCCACCTGGTACATAGTTGTATATTTTTAGTTATAGATCCTTCTAGTTGTGGCATGTGGGACGCCGCCTCAGCATGAGTTGATGAGCGGTGCCATGTCTGCGCCTAGGATCTGAACCAGTGAAACCCTGGACTGCCAAAGCAGAGTGTGAGAACTCAACCACTCGGCCACAGGGCCGGCCCCCTGTACTCATTATTCTTTTTTTTTTTTTTTTTTTGAGATTTAATTTTTCCATTTTCTCCCCAAAGCCCCTGGTACGTAGTTGTATATTTTAGTTGTGGGTCCTTCTAGTTGTGGCATGTGGGATGCTGCCTCAGCATGGCCTGATGAGTGGTGCCATGTCTGCACCCAGGATCCGAACCGGTGAAACCCTGGGCCGCCAAAGCGGAGCGTGTGAACTTAACCACTCGGCCACAGGGCCAGCCCCTGTATTCATTATTCTTGATACTCAAGTTGTCCCATTTGTGGCCTTGGGAGCCACTTCATGCTGGCTCTTGGACCCTTTGACGTGACACTAATAGTCTTTGATAACTTCCTTGCTTTCAGGCACGACATGATGTCTCAGGCTCCTCCTACACATTTCTTGCCACGTTGTTGAAAACAACTCTCTTTGAGGAAAAGTGGTATTTAGAGGCCACAATATGGACACTGAGGATATTAATTGCTGCTGAGGTGTTATTGCTTCCACACTTTCAATGATTAGAGCTAGGACATTTGTGGATTTTCAAAAAACAAAGAGTGAATCCAGAGTTCTTACTGATGTTCCCAGTTAACATGAAATATTATGGAGTTCAAATTTTTCCTAACATTTTATTATGAAAATTTTCAAGCTTATGGAAAAGTTGAAGGAGTTTTACGGTGAAAACCAATATACCATGACCTAGATTCTTTATCACATATTTGTCCACCTGGCAGTTCTTCTATACTAACTTTGTATTTCTTTTATCTGAAAATCTTGGTTCCTAATGTAATTATGTACTTATTTCATATATATACACATACACGCATACATATAAATATATAAATACACATTCATACATACTCATACATGAATATAATATTTTTAAATAACAAATCCTACGTCACCACCATCAACAAACCTACTGTTTAAGGGATTTTTGTTTGTTTTTTTTGTCCTCAGGACGTGCAGTCGAAGTTCTATATTTCAAGTCACTTGAAATAATTATCTGTGTGGTTATGCTGCTAACTTTATATAGAGCAGGAGACTGCAAGCTTTTTCTGTGAAAGGGCTGATGGTAAATATTTTGGGGTCTGTAACCCACAGTCTCTGTCGCAACTACTGGCATCTGCCATTGTAGCTGGAAAGCAGCCATAGATAATATGGAGATAAGTAGACATGACTGTGTTCCAATGAAACTTTATTTATGGAAATAAGCAGTGGGCCAGATTTGACCTGCAGAATTTAGTTTTGCCACCTTGGACACAGAGTATAGAATTATTAGGTTCATTTGTTTGTTTTTGATTTTTAGGAATTATTTTGACTTTTCTTTTTTTTTTTTAAAGATTTTATTTTTTCCTTTTTCTCCCCAAAGCCCCCCAGTACATAGTTGTATATTCTTCATTGTGGGTCCTTCTAGTTGTGGCATGTGGGACGCTGCCTCAGCGTGGTTTGATGAGCAGTGCCATGTCCGTGCCCAGGATTCGAACCAACGAAACACTGGGCCACCTGCAGCAGAGTGCACGAACTTAACCACTCAACCACGGGGCCAGACCCTACACCTTTTTAAATTTAATATGTCTTAGAGATCACTACTTAGTGGTACATAGAAATCTTCCTCTTTCCCTTTTACAAGTATTTCATTATATGGGTATACCATTGTTTATTCAATCAGTTCTCTTATAAATGGAATTTGGGTTATTTCAAGTCCTTCGTTAATATAAGAAGCACCACAGTGAATAGTCTTATGTGTATGGCGCTTTGCTTTTTTGCCTGTGTATCTATCTATAGGATAGATCCCTAAAAGATTTCTGGGGCAAAGGTTAAATGCCTATGTAATTTTGCTAGATATTCCCAAATTTCTCTCCTTAGGGAACTATCATTTTAGTTCTTACCAGCAATGTATGAGAGTGTGTGTTTCCCCAAAACCTTGCCATATAATGTGTTATAAAACTTTGGGGTTTTACCCAGTTGATAGATGGGAAGTGCTATTTCAGTATAGTTTAATTTACTTTTATCTTATGAGAAGGGTTGATCATATTTTTAGGTTTAAACATCATTTACATTTCTTTTTCTGTACACTGTTCATGTCTTTGCTCATATAGTGTTTCATACTCTTTGTTCACTGTAGAATATATTTAATGAATATGTAATTAAATAATATTCAACATAATTTAATGGCTGCAAGTATTCCATTATTCATTCATTCAACAACTACTTATTTTGAACAGCTATTACATGTCAGACAGGTCTTGTTCCAGGCAAAGGGAATATACAGTAGTGAACAAAACAGAGCAACATCTTTGTCCTCAAGGAGGTTTTAGTTTATGGTTTTTTTTTTTTTGAGGAAGGTTAGCCCTGAGCTAACATCTGTCGCCAATCCTCTTCTTTTTGCTGAGGAAAACTGGCCCTGAGCTAACATCCGTGCCCATCTTCCTCTACTTTATATGTGGGACACCTGCCACAGCATGGCTTGACAAGCGGTGGGTAGGTCTGCACCCGGGATCCGAACCTGTGAACCCTGGGCCGCCAAGGTGGAACATGCAGACTTAACCCCTCCGCCATTGGGCTGGCCTGGAGCTTTTGGTCTAGTTGGTGGAGAGACAATAAATAATAAACAAAATAAATATTATACATACATATAGTATGTTAGATACAGGTAGACCATAATTTACTCAACCAATCCCCTGTTATTGGACATGGAGTTTTAAATTTACACTATTATAAATAATGCACTGTTGAATATCCTTTAAGTTATCATCAATTATATTTTGATCCTTTCTAATTTGTTTCTTAGAAAATGTATTAACTTTAGTTTTGAAGTCTGTTGCTGCTTGTATTCATTTATATTTTCAACATTTTATTATGGTTTTATAACCATAACCTTTCTTTTTGCATTATATTTTTAGTAGTCATCCTGGAATTACAATATGCATCCTTAATTTTTCACGATCTTTAGGATGAATATTGTACTACCTCACATAACGTGGAAGAACTTTGCAACTGTAAGGGTCCTTTTACAGCCTCCCCCCCCCCCCCCCCCCCCCCCCCCGCTTAGACCTTATGCTGTAGTTTTCATATTTACTTTATCTATAAAAGTTATAAATCCCATAATACAATTTTATAAATTTCGCTTTAGCCACTTATATGTATTTAAGGAAATTAAGAGGAAAAAATTAGTCTTTTATATTTACCCATGTATTTTACCATTTCCAGTGCTCTTCATTCCTGAAGATCCAAGTTTCCATCTGGTATTATTTTCCTTCAGCTTGAAGAACTTCCTTTAGCATTTCTTAGTAGTGCAGATCTGCTGGCAGTCAATTGTTTTAGTTTTCATCGATCTGAAAATGTCTTCATTTTACTTTCATTTTTGAAGATTATTTTTACTGGATATAGAATTCTGAGGTGGCAGTTTTTTGATGTTTTTTTCTGGTTACCACTTTAAAGAAGTTTTTCTACTGTCTTTTGGGATTCATTATTTGTGATGATAAGTTCGCAGTCATTCATAGCATCGGTCCCCTGTATGTAAACTGTCATATTTTTCTGGCTGCTTTCAAGATTTTCCCTTTATCTCTGGTGTTTAGCTGTTGACGAATGCCAGTCATTTCCCAGTTTTTGCTCACTTTTATCACCTTCAGATGTCTTCAGGTAGTTGCTTTTTACATTTTGTCCAGAGTTGATAGTTTTTATCTGTGGGAAGGTTTTTCTTATAGGAGTTGTTTCTTGTTGTTTTTTTTTTTGAGGAAGATTAGCCCTGAGCTAACTGCTGCCAATCCTCCTCTTTTTGCTGAGGAAGACTGGCCCTGAGCTAACATCCATGCCCATCTTCCTCTACTTTATATGTAGGATGCCTGCCACAGCATGGTCTGCCAAGTGTTGCGTAGGTCTGCACCCAGGATCTGAACTGGTGAACCCTGGGCCGCCAAAGCGGAACGTGTGCACTTAACTGCTGCGCCACAGGGCTGGCCCCTCTTCTAGGAGTTTTAAGGAGATCTTTATTAATTCATTCTTTTACACAATCAACTAACAAAAACTCATTTGGTGTTTACTTTATATACTTTGCAAAGCATTACAAGAGAGACATGGTGCCAATCTTCATTAAGTTTAAACTCTAGGGGAGAAGAAAGAAAATAAACACAAATAAAATAATTATTGATTGTGCTAAGTATTATGAAGAAGAGATACTAGATGCTATCACAGAGTTACTAGTGTGGGGGATGGCTTTTAGATTTGTCAAGAAGGGCCACTCTGAGCAGATAATACATAAATTGAGACTTCGAGGCACTTATGACTCAGCATTTCCACTCTTAGCCATATATATATCAGGAATGTGTGTGCACACTTTCACCAAAAGAAATCTATTTGAAGACTTGAGAGGGTCTCCTTTTCTGGTGTGCGTAATGTAGATTTTTGGGAGAGGAGGAATGTAACCAGGGAAAACAGTTAAGAGGCTGTTGTCATAGTTCAGTTTAAAGATGATCATGACTTGGACAAAGATTGCAGTGGGTAGATGGCGAAAAATGGATGAATTTGAGAACCATTTTGTAAGCAGCACAGACAAGGCTTGGTGATGGATTGGATAGGGAGATAAGGAAAAGAATTAGTTACCAGTTAGTGACCAGGTTGGATTGCAGCAGGGGGCAGGAGGTATTGGTGAGAATCAAGAATTCCATTATGAATATGTTGAATTTGAGATGCCTCAGAAGCATCCAAGTGGAGATTTCATGTAGCAGTTGGAAGTGTGTCTCTGAAACTTAGAGGGTAGACATGGGCTGGAGATATAAATTTGGGAGTTGTTAGCTTCTAGGTGGTTTTTAAAGACCTGGGCTAGGATAAGATTATCAAGGAAGAGAATGCAGAGTTCAGGACAAGCCCTAGAGCGTTTCGATATCTGGTAGAGGAAAAGGAGCCAGCAGAGGAGACCTTGAAGAGATGGCCTTTGAGGTAGGAGGAAGACCAGGAAAGAGTGGTGTCCCAGAAGCCAAGAGAGGAGAGTGTTTCAAGGAAGGAGTCCTCATTGATGTCAACTGCTGAGAGTGTATAAGAGCTCCTTCATGGGGCCAGCCCGGTGGCGCAGCAGTTAATTTCGCACATTCCGCTTTGGCCGCCTGGGGTTCGCCGGTTCAGATCCCGGGTGCAGACATGGCACCACTTGGCAAGCCATGCTGTGGCAGGCGTCCTACATATAAAGTGGAGGAAGATGGGCATGGATGTTAGCTCGGGGCCAGTCTTCCTCAGCAAAAAGAGGAGGATTGGCATCAGATGTTAGCTCAGGTCTAATCTTCCTCAAAAAAAAAAAAAGAGCTCCTTCACCAGTAGAGGGCAGTAAAGACCATTTTAGGAAAATTTGGGGAAAAATTGAGAATAGATATTTTGGAGGGATGTGATTAAATTAATCCCTTTGAACCCTATAGCTATATTTTGTGATTTGCCTCACTAGAATGTAAATCCCATGAGGGAAGGACTTGGTTACTTTGTTTTGTTCAGTGCTTTATCCCTGGCACCTAGAACAGTTTGACTGAAAGAATCTTCTGTGGTAAATGTTCAACTTTTAAAATTTCTGTTCTGGCTACAGTTTAAGCCCAGTAAGATGACTAAGACATGGCCTCTGCCCTCAGAACATAAGGGGAATAGAACAAATTAGATGAAGTATAACGTGTTAGGTACACTATTCTAACTATATCCAAAGTGCTGTGGGAAGGCAGGAAGTGTGGTCTTGAATTCTGCCTAGGCTGGGGTGGCATAATTGGGGAGGATTTCCAGAGGCAAGGACATCTGAGCCAGGCCTCAGGGGATGAACTGGAGTGGGCAAGGCATTCCACACAGAGGGAAGTATGATTTGATTTCCATGTATATAATCTCTTTTTCCTTCCAAAGGATCAGGCTCAAGTTCACTGCAGATCACAAAACATGACGTCTTGTTGGCTACTTTAAAATCTAACCTGTCTGCTGTGGAGGACAAATTGCTGAAGGATCCTCACTGGAAGACATTGAAACTCCTGAGGGATGAAATTGCTAATAAGGCAGAATGGCCACAAAACTCTGTGGACGTCACCTGGAGTTTTACCTCTCAAATCTTGCTGTGGCTGTTGTGCTTGAAGGAAACCATGATCCACCTTGCGGCTGATTTCAATCCGGGCAAATCCAACCCTAGGACTCCAGAAGCTGCTCCTGCACTGAGTCCGGATACACTTAGTATCTCACAGCAGAAGACTGTGCAGTCAGTCTTGCAGTTTGTAGTCACCTTGGGTGTCTGCCCTTATCTCATGCCTGGTGTTGGAGTCCCTTTGAGATATAGGACTGAATTTGGGGCCGTTGTTCAAGACGTGGTGTGTCTTGATGCTGCCCCGGATGCAACCCGGAGACTGTACACCAGCTGCAGGGTCCTCCTAAATGTTGCTCAGCACGCATCTCTGGGAAGCTTGATTTTCTGCCGCCATTTTGGGGATATTGCGGCAGGCTTGTGCCAACTGGGATTCTGCCCGACCAAGAGAAAACCACTAAAACCTGAGGAAGAGGTAAACATACACTGAGGGAGAGAGAGAATATATTTGTATATATTTGTGTGTGGTTGTTGTAAAAGACAACTAACTCTGAGTTCTTTGGAAAAGGGCTGATGGAAAGATCTAGAATTCCTATTGAATACCAAAGCATATCCAGTGGATAAATGAATCTTTTTAGGGGGTTGGAGCTTTCATTTATTAGATGCTAGTCCTTTGCACACCTGGAAAGTCCATTTCACCTGTCCCTTCTTGTCATTTTGTGAAACAGCTATTGCAGGCTATTTCTTTGAGCCTCTGTTTCCTCTTTTTTAAAATTTGTATAATAATACCTGCCTTGGAAGGTGGTTGTGAGGATAAGGGATAATGTATTAAAGTGCCTATCTCAATCCCCAGTAGTGCTCATCCAAAAGTAATTACTACTAATGTTAGTATTGAAGTAGTCATCCCTCCTTCATTAAGTTCTTGGGAGGATTAAATGAGATAAGTCAGTAAGGCACCTGGTGCAGGGCGTGATTCAGTCACTGTTCGTTGTTATTAGTAGGTTAGGGGTATGTGCCTGAGTTTTGCTGACGCTCAAGCAGTAAGGATTTGAGTACCTGGACTATAAAGGTGCCGTGGAGGTTACAGAAGCATAAGGCATAGTCCTTTTCTCAAACAGCTCACACATTAATTGGGAGACAAGATTCACAAGTATGACATAGCAGGGACCACTACTCCCCCACAAGAGGACCACCAGCATCAGCATAGGAGCCTCACCACAGGAAGCTGTTAAGATATAAACATATCAAGGGTCCGTGCAGCTCATATGCAGGGTAATTCCTTAGCCATTGCAGCCAGACTTCATAATGCCCACCTGCCTCATTTCTCTGTCACCTGCTGTGTCACCTTCCAACTTGTTCCTTTTCTGTTGGTTCGTCTTTTCTAATCTCTCTCTTACCTGTGTTCACAAACATTTGCTTAAAAGACACTATCTGAGCAGTGACACGAAATTATGAGCTCCCCTGGTGCATTTGTGTCATGTGGAGCAGAGCACTGTGCTCTGTATGACAGAGTGTGAATCTTGACAGTTCTGTCAGTATCTGCTGCCTGCACTTCCTGAGATGGGGGGTTGGGGGTCTGAATTGACAGGTCTTATTACTATTACTGGGTTTAAGCAGTTCCCCAGGGGTCTCAGGTAGGAGAGAGAAAAGAAAAGGGAAACACACAGAAAGGACGAGGTGGGAAGGCAGGTGAAGAAGTTGACAGAAGGGGAAACACAAAGAGTGTACATTTTGAAGCTGGACAGTTTCCAGCAATAGCTGCTGCTCTAGACAGCACCTGTACCTCAGTTTGCTAAGCGGTAATGGACAGGATCTTGACTGCTCTACTGAGTTACCACAGGGGGACAGTACTTTGAGGCTTAAGAGTGCCCAGTAAATAGCACCCCTCTTTGCTCCCCGAGTTCTGAATGAATTAAAAGACAGTGAACAGAGTAAGAGAGATGAAAAGTCAAAATATCATTTCTGTTGCTCATAAATGCAAAGTTGGAGGATATAGCTTAAAGATGGAGATGAATGGGCTTCCTAAAAGTATATTCTAGAATTAGACATACTTACTACTCACCCAGTTTTAAGTAGTGCTGGAAAACTACAGTGGCTTCTGCCCCATGGCAGGGGATATACCTCTGTAAAATCTACAGCAAGGAAGAGCAGAAACAAATGTGCACTTGCTCCCAAGACATAGAAGAGGAACGAGCTGAGCTGTGCCTGCCAAAATTCGCCAATAAGTAAGTCTATTCCAAACGCAGCAGTGAGATGAGTCAATAAGATGATCTGCCTAGAAGTGAGTGAGGGGATGGAAAGAGGACCAGGAGTGTTTCAGTATTATAGCTTCCTCCATGTGGAAGGGAATCAAGAGGGAAAAGAAGCCTTCCTTCCTCTCCCCCTACAAGTGTCTTTGTACAGTATTGTGAAACATTACCATCTATTGCCTGCCTGGTTTATGTTCTGCTAAAGCCAGGTACATGTTTCTTTTAGGTGTTAACCGAAGAGGAAAGAGCCCTGTCCAGGGAGGCCTTGAGAGACATCTTGAATCAAATATATCAACCATTAGCAGTCCGAGAATTACTTACCCTCCAGGGAGGACCACCTCAGGTATTCCAGGCCTGGGGACTCTTGTGGGTGAATCATTAATGATGACGTGTGGTGTGCTGTCTTCTCCTGGGAAATTTGATAATCTAGTTGAATCTTATTTCATCGTTTAGATCATTAAATAGTATTTTTAAAGCTAGCAGAGTAACCAAGTTACTCTGACCCTTAGGATAATTTTTTTTTTAATTCTACCTCCTTTTTTTTTTCTTTTTTTGCAGGGAAGGATTTGCCCTGAGCTAACATCTGTTGCCAATCTCTTTTTTCCCCTCCCCAAAGCCCCAGTATATGGTTGTATATCCTGGTTGTGAGTGGTTCTAGTTCTTCTATGTGAGCTGCTACTACAGCATGGCAAATGACAGATGCGTAGTGTGGTTCCGAGACTGGCAAGTGAACCTGGGCTGTCAAAGTGGTGAGCACCAAACTTTAATCACTAGGCCATCAGGGCTGGCTCAGGATGATTTTAAAAGATTTTTCTTTGGTGGACCAGCCTGGTGGTATAGTGGTTCAGTTTGTGCGCTCTGCTTCCGTGGTCAGGGCTTTGCAGGTTTGGATCCTGGGCATGGACCTAGCACCACTCGTCAAGCCATGCTGTGGCAGCATCCCACATAAAATAGAGGAAGATTGGCACAGATGCTAGCTCAGCGACAGTCTTCCTCAAGCAAAAAGAGGAAGATTAGCAACAGATGTTAGCTCAGGGCCAATCTTCCTCACAAAAAAAAGATTTTTCTTTTAATGGAATGGTGGACACTTTTCCCAAGGATATGGCAGTTTTATTTAAAATATATTTTATTTATTCTGAAACTGGATCTTTTTTTTTCTTTAACTAAAATTTGGCTGTTTGACAATACATTCTTTTGTCAAAAATATTTGGACATCTTTTTCTTTGAATGGAGTATCTGAAGTCAAGAAATTAAGATTAGAACTATTATTGAGACTATTCTTATCTGCTTTGTTTGAAAAACATGATAGTATATATTCTAGTAGGCATAAGATAGTTTCTTTTTTTCCTTAAAAATAATTATCTTATCTGAAATGATTTGATGCTGTAGATGGAATTATCTATTTGTTTTTAGTACCTAAATTTTAGTTAGGAATCCAGGTGAGTAAAGTGCGAGGGGTCAAAGGAATTGGCTGTAGGTCAGGAACAAGGACCAGCTGAAGCTGGCTACAAAGATACCTCCTCGTTGAAGTCATGTTCATCTCATGCTCAGAATATTACTGTAGTTCCCATTGGGCCCCTCTGGCGTCACACTCCACTTCTCTAATGAGTCCACAGTTTGCCAGATTAAACCAAATGCATTATAATCATGAGAACGTGGTAAAAAGCAGAGGCTCTGGCATTAGGCGTACTGGCATTTAACCCCCGCGTGCAGTTGTATGAATTAGTAAACCTTTCCATCCTCAGTTTCCTTACCCATAAAATAGGAATAGTAACAGTGTCTTCCTTGTAATTCCCTTTTGAGGTTATGTGGGAGGTACGTAGCACAGTGCTTGGCACACCATAACCCCCTCAATAAATGGTAATTATTAATCCTCCTTAAATAAAAGAGAGAGGATGGGCCAGTTAGGATAAAATGTTTCTGTCACTAATTTTTATGCTCACACATTTAAATACAATGATTGACAGCAACATAGTTCACATTCTAGGCCCAAAATAAGGGACACCAAGTCTGTGTTGTTAATGATGGCTCCACAGAGCTCTCAAAAAGGAGCCCTTTAGGAACCCAACCCTTCTTGAAACTGCCGTGTCCCAAAGAATGAGAGTAGCTAAGACCTTGGAGGCAGGGCTGGAGTGCCCCCTCACTGTTGTGAGCTGTCCTCCTAGAGGTGAGTAATGTTCATAGATTCTTCTTTAGAAGCGAGATTTGATTGGAAGGACTGCATTCAGAGATCGGTTTTATTAACTTTGTGTTCTCCTAATCTATATCTTGTTCACTGAAGTGTTGGTCTATTTCTGAGTTTGAAATTTCACTTGAAGTTTTACTGTATTTCTATTTTCTTTTTCTTTATTTTTTTTGAGGAAGATTAACCCTCAGCTAACATCTGCTGCCAATCCTCCTCTTCTTGCTGAGGAAGGTGGGCCCTGAGCTAACATCCATGCCCATCTTACTCTACCTTACATGTGGGACGCCTACAACAACATGGCCTGCCAAGCGGAGCCATGTCCACACCTGGGATCCAAACCGGTGAACCCCGGGCTGCCGGAGCAGAATGTGCACACCAAGCCGCTGCGCCACTGGGCCGGCCCCACTATTTTCTCTTATAAGTGATGTTGAAGAAGGTTTTGTAAAGGAGAGGGTCTTTTTTTTTTTTTGAAAAAATGTTCTTCTAAAGTCTGTGTAGCATACTGTTAGTTGTTAATATGACTCACTGTATATATATATATTTTTTAATAATTTCTACATATCCTATCTATTTCACTGCCATTCAATTCAGACCTTTCCCTTTATTTTTTAGGCCTGCACAGATGTGAAGACACAAGTTAGGTCTCAGGCCCCAGCTTGGCTTCGGCGTCTGTGTGGGCAGCTGCTCTCCGAAAGGTTGATGAGACCCAGTGGTGTTCAGGCAGTAGTCCGGGGCATTTTGGAAGGAGCAGGTGGTAAGAAACTGTTTCTGTTACTTTGGTGTCCATTTCCCTTCGAGTCAGAGTGAATTGTTGATCTTTAGCATTTGCCTTTAAAACCTGAGACTAAACTGTGCCTTTGTGGAGACTGAGGAGGCTAGACTGCGAGGTTAAACCTTGCTGAGAGTCTTTTCCAGAGAAACTCATTTTCTTACCATTTTTCTAAAACAATTGTGATACACCACTGACGTTGTTGAATAATATTGTCAGCTATTTCAGATAATTTATAATATCATAGGAAAACGTTGCACAGAAAGTTTAGGTAAAATCCTAAAGAAAATGTGAAATTGTGTGTGGAAAAGAGCTTTGTACCAGGGTGTTAAGAGTACTTCACCTCAGGACTTAAAATACAAAATAGTTCCTTTGACGCTGCAGATACCTTAGAGATGCAGACTTTGCAGTGAAGTTTTAGATTCAGTCCCCCAATTACTTTCTCTAAGTCCTCATTAATAGAAAAAAGTTAATTATCATGCTAAGTGTAGTAGTAGTTTTTAATTTATATTTTTTGATTTTTAAAACAAAATTATACATGCACGTAGTTTAAAGAGTCAAATAGGTCTATAAGGCTCGTAGAGAAAACCAGCAGTCCTTTCACCATTCCACTCCATTTCCCATCTCTAGAAGCAACCATTTGGAACTTGTTAGTGGGTTTCTTCTAGTATTTACCTCTGTATTTCTACCACAAGGCACATACAGCACCTTCTTAATTTTTCAGTTTGAGAGTCGTCTACTAACTGCTCAGCACGTGTGGAAGAGGATGTTGCTCTCTTTCAAAACCCTGGCGTCACTCCCCCACGTATACTTCCCATCTCCTTAATAGTCATAGCTTAATTTTGGTTAGCTCCATGTTCAGTGTTTATGTTCTTCTAATTCTGTAATTATTATTTACAGTTGAGCTGTGTAGTATACTATGACTACTTTTATAACTTTTGTACTTCTTGGAGTTAATAGCTATCTTTTTTATTTGTCTGCTTAGTTTTTATGTCCTTATCACTAATCTATTCTCAAATTCTCCCCCAGTTGTTTAAGTCTGCTTTTAATACATTAAGATACACCAGACAATCTATCCGTTTTGTCTTCTTGGAGACACCCGTCTCTGAGTCTTCTCTAAGCTGGACTAGTTACCTCCCACAGGGCTCTCATCCAGGCTCTCCCTTCCCCTTTATCCCATGAGTGCTCTGCCTCTCTTTTGTGTTCAGTCCCTTATTTCCTGTATCGCATGAACATTAGTTTCCTATTGCTGCTGTAACAAATTACCACAAACTTAGTGGCTTTTTGATGAAGTTGACATTTAAACTGAGCCCTGAAGGCTGGGTAGGAATTTACTAGTTGAAGAATGAGAGAAGACTATTGTAGGCAAAGAGAATAGCGCGTATGATGGAACTGGCGTAGAAAAGAGCATAGTGTTTTTGAGGAAATTTTGGTACGGTAGAGCCGTGAGGGCAGAGAGTGGTGTGAAATGAAGGTGGCAGGGTCGGGAGAGGCCACGTCACGGAGGCCTGGAGGCCTAGTTCAGGATTTTGAACTTTATTCTGAGGGCAATGAGAAACCATTGGAAGGTTTTAAGGAGAGAGGCATGATCAAATCTACATTTTGGAAATATCTGTCTGGATGTATTGTGAAGAATGGGCAGTCAACTGAGAGGCCACGGTGGCTTGGATCAATGCTGTGGCAGTGGAAATAGAAATGAACGAATGTGAGAGGTATTTAAGGGATGGAGTTGCCAGAACTTAATGAAGGGCTGGACATGTGAAGAGAGAGGAGAGAGAGAGAAGAATCAATCTTGACTTTCCATTTCTGGTGTGGTAAATGTACATTGGCCCTGTCAGATGAAGGTGAGGTCAATGTGGCTCGCAGACATTGATAAATATGGTCTAAAGTCGCTGTAATATTGCCTCCCCAGTTGTGCCTGCAGTGGCTTTTAGGGCCAATGAAATGAAAAATTATCAGTTACTTATGAGACGTTGTCACATACAAATAAGTCGTTGCATCTTCTTTTTCCAAAGAAGAGTTAGACTTCACCCAAGGGCATGCAAATTAGAGAGCTGCTGTAAGAAACTTAGAACCCTATTTTTTTTAAATTTTTTTTTGAGGAAGATTGGCCCTGAGCTAACATCTGCCACCAATCCTCCTGTTTTATTATGCTGAGGAAGACTGGCCCTGATCTAACATCCATGCCCATCTTCTGCTACTTTATATGTGGGACGCCTTCCACAGCATGGCTTGCCAAGCGGTGCCACGTCCATACCAAGGATCCGAACCGGCGAACGCCGGACCGCCGAAGGAGAATGTGTGCACTTAACCACTGCGCCACCAGGCCGGCCCCAATAATAGCGGTTTTAATGTCCTTGTCTCCTAAGTCTGTCATCTCTGTTTTTATGAGTCTGTTTCTGTTGATTTTTCCTCCTGATTATGGGTCGTATTTTCTTGCTTCTTTGCTTGCCTGGTAATTCTTTTTATTGAGATGTTATTTACATACCATAAAATTCATTCTTTTAAAGAGTACCATTTAGTGGTTTTTTGTATATTCACAAAGTTGTGCAACCCTCACCAGTATCTAATTCCAAAACATTTTCATCATCTCCTCCCAAAAAACCTCATACCCATTAGCAATGACTCCCCCTTCTCCCCTCCTCCAACCCCTTGTAAGTACTCATCTACTTTCTGTGTCAATGGATTTGCCTATTCTGGATATTTCATCCAAATGGAGTCATACGATATGTGGTCTTTAGTGTTTAGCTTCTTTCACTTAGCATGTTTTTTAGGTTTATCCATGTTGTGGCATGAATCAGTCCTTATTCCTTTTTATGACTGAATAATATTACATTATATGCGTATGCCTGGTAATTTTTGAATGGATACTGGACATTTTTTTTTTTTGAGGAAAATTAGCCCTAAGCTAACATCTGCTGCCAATCCTCCTCTTTTTGCTGAGGAAGACTGGCCCTGAGCTAACAACATCCCTGCTCATCTTCCTCTACTTTATATGTGGGACGCCTACCACAGTATGGCTTGCCAAGCGGTGCCATGTCTGCACCCGGGCTCTGAACTGGCGAACCCCGGGCTGCCGAAGTGGAATGTGTGCACTTAACTGCTGCACCACTGAACCGGCCCCAGATACTGGACATTTTTACTTTGCATTGTTGAGCGCTAGATTCTGTTGTATTCATTTGTTAGGCTTTGTTCTGGGATGCAGTTAATTTCCTTGGAATCAGTTTGATCCCTTTGATCCTGGCTTTTAAGCTTTGTTACTGTGAGTCTAGAGCAGCCTTTAATCTAAAGTAATTTGACCCCACTACTAGGGCAATAGCCTTCTGAGGTTCTACTTGATACCCTGTCTATTAGAAGGCCTTACCATGCTCTCTAGTGGGAACACAAACTATTCCCAGCCCTGTATAAACTCTGGGGATTGTACCCCCTCCTCCTTTCTGGTGGTTCTTGCTCCAGCCTTGGGTTTTTTCTCACAGACATACACAGATCTTACTCCACCAAAGATTTGAGGGAGGACTCCAGATCTCTGGAGCTCTCTCTTTGTGTAGCTTCCTCCTCTCTGGTATTTTGTCCTGAAAATTCTAGCTGCCTTGGCCTCCCTGAACTCTGGAATATGTTCCTTTAGCTCAACAAGATGCCAGGCTTCGTTTGGGCTCCCCTTTGCTGTGCTGTGGCCTCAGGTTTTTCTCTAGGTAATAGGCTAGGCTATTCATGGGGCTTGCCTTGTTTGCTTCCCTTCTCTCAGCGATCAGTATCCTGGGCTGCCTGTTGTCCAGTGTCTGGAAGCCATTGTGAATATATTTTGTCCGGTTTTCTTATCATTTACGGTGGAAAGAAAATCTAGTCCCTATTACTCTATAGCTTTGGTTTAAGGTAATTTAAATGGTATTCAAGTCATATGAATAATTCCGTTACAATGATTAAGCGCTACTTTTTTCTCTGAACTTCCCAGAAACCAACCTTTGAAAGGAAAGTGCAGAGGGGTGGATTATCTTACAGAGAAGAAATAAACAATTTTTAGTAGAGAAAAAACACTTTTTACTCTAAATTTTAAGGACCTTATATGAGGAACTAGTTGAGTTTTTTACTATCTTTGTCATCTTTTTCCATTGCTGACAGCTGGGGCGGCTGGTGGACATGATGCTGAGGCAACAGCTGCTGACTGGAAGAAGTGTGACTTGATTGCAAAGATTTTGGCCTCTTGTCCCCAGCAATCTCTTTCACCAGAGGATTACTATAGGGATATCTGCCCCCAGGTAAATAATTCTGTTTCTTTTGACTGTTTGAAGATTATCTGCTTATTTATAGAAAGAGGACTTTAATGTTCCTCTAATACTAAGGTAAAAGCACAATATAATACTTAAATGTATTGTTTAGTGAGGGGCCTTCTCTTCCTCCTTTTGCTGAGGAAGATTGGCCCTGAGCTAACATCTGTGCCCATCTTCCTCTATTTTGTATGTGGGATGCTGCCACAGCGTGGCTTGATGAGTGGTACAAGTGGGGTGTAGGTTCGTGCCCAGGATCCAAACCTGCAAACCCTGGGCCGCCAAAGCGGAGCATGTGAAATTAACCACTATGCCGCCAGGCCAGCCCCAAGCAGCCTTCTTAATAAGTGAATAAAAACCTGTGGAAGACACCGATCTGATTGCTAGGTTTAAGAACACCTCTCTGTTAAGAATGACTAGCCTAGCTTGCTCTCAGAGCTGGAATATAAAACTAAAGTTTCATCTTGTTCCTTATCTTTTCTGTGTGTTTTTAATTAGTTTTTTTAAAATAGGCATTAAATAAACAAGATAAATTCACATAGTACTCGATTTAAAAGCAAAAAAGACTAAACAGAAAAGTAAATCTCCCTCTCAGTTCCCTAGTTCCTCAGAAGTAGTCACTGTTACCAACTTCTTGTTTATTTTCCAGAGATATTCTGTGTCTTCTGTATATAATTTATATGTGTATGTATGTGTCTAATTTTTATAAAAGTGATAACATGCTACACACACTGGTTTTCATTTGGCTTTTTTAACTTGACAGTGTACCTGGGAGATTATTTCATTATGTGCTGCATCATTCTTTTTCATGGATACATAGTATTTCATCATATTAATGTAGCATAATTTATTTAACCAGCCTTCTATTAATGGACATTTGAGTTGTTTTCATTCTTTTGCTGTTGCAAACCATGCTATAGTTAATATCCATAAATCTTGCACATGTGCAAATATTACCATAGAAAAAATTCCTAGAATTGAAATTACTGGTTCAAAGGGTATGTGCATTTAAGTTTTGGATTGATATTGTTTATATATTTGTTTTACCACATTTGCCTATGCAGTGTATTACAAAACATTTCTATCTTTGCTAATCTGATGGGTGAAAAATGTGGAAGGAGTTTTCTTAATCAGAACTCCCCATGCTTTTAGATGTAGGACGTGCCTTTTGGAGTACAGTCCAAAGAAGGTCATTCAGTTGTCATGCTGATCTTCAGAGTTCTCATGGGTAGGCATGCATGAGAACAAAATATCGCAATGCAAAGATCTTATGTTGAAAAATACTAAATATAAGTCATCTTACAGGACAAGGTCTGCATTTGCAATGATGAATAAGTATTTTCTGAAACTAGTAGCTATAGTTTTGATACTTAACAAAAGAATAAAATCAAGTCATAGCTTTCAGGTCTGCCCAGTCTCTCTCTGGTGGTGTTAGAGGTCACATGCAGTTTTTGGACAGAAGATTCTCCTGTCTGCAAAAAGTGAGAGAGTCACTTTTAAGTCAGGAACAGAAATGCACTTTTCTGTCAGTTGCTTATGCTAGGATAAACCCACTCATAGGCACTGCAGAGCTATGTTTATCTTTGAGAATAAAATAGACTCCTGTCTGGGATATTTCAGACACAACAGGCTCTTCAGACCCTAAATATATTTATATACCTTGACCCACCAATTTCATTTGGTGGTGCTATTTGTAATAGCAAAATTTTGGGAATAAAACTGAATGTCTGGATATTAGGGAATAATTTAATAAATTCTTACATATAGCTTGAATATAATATTATATATATATATATATTTAAAGATTTTATTTTTCCTTTTTCTCCCCAAAGTCCCTTCGTACATAGTTGTGTATTTTTAGTTGTGGGTCCTTCTAGTTGTGGCGTGTGGGACGCTGCCTCAGCATGGCTTGATGAGTGGTGCCATGTCCGTGCCTAGGATCAGAATCGGTGAAACCCTGGGCCGCCAAAGCAAAGCGAGCGAATTCAACTACCTAGCCATGGGGCAGGCCCCAAATATAATGTTTTTGAGGCATTTATAACAATATGAGAAGATTTTAGCGATACACAAAGCTGAATATTAAATGTGGTCTCAAATAAAAAGAAAAAAGAATTATATGGAAACAAATTGGAAAAAATACACCAAAAATGTTCACAGTGATTTGGGAAGATTTATTTATTTATTTTTTCTGCTTTATCTCCCCAAATCCCCCCTGGCACATAGTTGTATATCTTAGTTGCAGGTCCTTCTAGTTGTGACATGTGGGATGCTGCCTCAACGTCGACTGACAAGCGGTGCCATGTCCTCACCCAGGGTCCGAACCAGCGAAACCCTGGGCTGCTGCAGCGGAGCATGCAAACTTAACCACTCAGCCACGGGGCTGGCCCATGGAAAGATTTAATTTTCTTCTTAAATCTTTATTTTCCACATTTTCTAAAATGAGCATGTCTTTTATAAGTTTGATAAAATTATTTAGTAAAAACATAGCCTGAATCTTCAGTTCTCACACCCTTTGATACTGGATTCTTAGATTAAAAAAAAAAAAAAAATTCTTGGGGCTAGCCTGGAGGCATTGCATGCTCCACTTTGCTGGCCCAGGCTTTACTGGTTCAGATCCTGGGCACAGACCTATACACCACTCGTCAAGCCATGCTGTGGCAGTATCCCACATACAGAGTAGAGGAAGACTGGCACAGGTGTTAGCTCTGGGCCAATCTTCCTCACCAAAAAATAGATAAATAAAATTCTGTTGAATCAGTGTTATTGCAGTGAGTGTATTTTTTGGCTTAAAGAGATTAGTTCTTTCTCTTTGCTAACATAATGCTCCTTGCAAAGAGCCTGGTGTTTTACTTCTTGTATTTTTTCTTTTAGATTCTGGATTTATTTCACTTTCAGGATAAATTGACAGCGCGACAATTTCAGAGAGTTGCTACCACTACCTTTATAACTATGTCAAGAGAACGCCCACAGTTGGCAGCAAAGTATTTGCTTCAGCCAATGTTAGCTCCTCTTCATCGATGTTTAAATACAGCAGGTAAAGGAGAAGACTTGTGGTTGGGTGTCCCTCTAAAGAACCTTCCTCAGTGTTTCAGATGGAAATGACTCAACTGTGTGGTATTTCAGTTTCTTTAGTTTTACTCTTCTTCCCCCAACTGTTTATTCTGAAAAATCCACTTCACAAACGTTCCAAGAAGCGTACATTGAACCACCCCTATACACTTCACCTGGAGTGACCAGCTGTTAACATCTGGGCCATGCTTGCTTTGTCTTTCTCTCTTTCCACACATACATTTTTTTCTGAGGCATTTGAGAGTTAGTTGCAGGCATCATCTAATATACAGACTTTATTCAAATTTCTCTAATTGTCCCAAGAACTACTTTTATAACTATTTTTTTAAAAAATCTATAATTCAGTCAAGAATCATGCATTCCATTTATGTGTTATGTCTTTTCAGTTTCCTTCGTTGTAGAATAGTTCCCTAGTCTTTCACTGTGACGTTTTTTAAAAGCCCAGTTTATAAAATATTCCTCAATTTCTGTTTGTCTAATTGTTTTCTCATAATTAGATCCAGGTTTAAACATTTTGGCAGGAATACTGCGTAGGATGTTGATTTTTTTCTCAGTTTCCATCAGATCAGGGGGCACGTGTTATCAGTTTATCCCATTATTAACAATGTTAAATTCGATCATTTGATTAAGCTGGTAGCAACCAGATTTCTCCATTGTAAAAACACCTTCCTCCCTTTGTAATTAATAAGTAATCTGTGGGATGATAGTCTGAGACTATGTGAATACCCTTTTTCCCAATAGTCTTTCATACTGTAGTTTAGTATCCATTGATGATTCTTGCCAGTAAAATGGTGACTTTCTATTTCTTTTGTTATTTTTAATTTGTTAGTTGGTATTCTTCTGTAAAGAAGAGCTTTTCTTTCTCCCTGCCTCATCCCTTTTTAAAAAACAATTAAGTATCAATATAATTCATAGTCTCCATCAATGGGTTACCAAACATTCCTGTCATTCATTTTGGTGCTCAGAATTTCCCAGATTTGGCCAGTGTGTTTTAGTTCTGTTTTAATGTTTTAAAATGTTGACATTTTCACCACTTCGCTTAGTATGTTTTCATTTATCGAGTTTAATGCTGGGATACAGAGTATCATTTCAGCATTACTTTTTAGATAGTAGTTCCTAAATTTAAAATGAAGAAAAAGTTTGATGTTATGGGTAAACCAAATTTAGTTCTTTGTAGACTTTGTATATCATTTGTAGTATAAATTTTTCTGGGTGTGTGTGTGGGGGTGAGGTGGGTGGGGATGGAAGAAGTTTAATTCTTGTGCATAGTAAAACTTCATCAGATTGGGCCTTGGTGAAGTAAAATTTGTGATTATTCAGTAATGATAAACATGACATTTGAGTAAATAATTAAAATTTCTTTATACATTTAATAGAAATCTAGTCTAGGATCAGTATATTCTTTAAAAAATGGCCCAAAAATTGAAGTATTATTTCTGTTGACCTTCAGCATTAGGGTCTAGCAATTCTTATATATCTGATTTCATGTATTAAGACTATACCTCATTACTACTCTATTTATTTTCTTATCTATCACTGATGGTTATTTCCTCTAATCTGGAGCACTGGTTCTTAGAATGTGGTCCCAGGACCAGTAGCATCAGCATCACCTGGGAATTTATTAGAAATACAACTGTTTGGGGCCGGCCCGATGGTTCAGCAGTTAAGTTCGCACGTTCTGCTTCGGTGGCCCGGGGTTCGCCGGTTCGGATCCTGGGTGCGAACATGGCACTGCTTGGCAAGCCATGCTGTGGTGGGCGTCCCACATATAAAGTAGAGGAAGATGGGCATGGATGTTAGCTCAGGGCCAGGCTTCCTCAGCAGAAAAAGAGGAGGATTGGCAGCAGAGGTTAGCTCAGGGCTAATCTTCCTCAAAAAAAAAAAAAAAAAAAATTACACAACTTAAAAAAAACAAAAAGAAATACAACTGTTTGGGCTCCACTCCAGACCTACTGAATCAGAAATTCTGATGTGGGTCCCAACAATCTGTGTTTTAACAGGTCCTTTGGGTAATTCAGTTGTGTGTTCAAGTTTGAGCACTGATCTAGAGTACTGTTCTTGGAAGGCCTAGATTCAGTCCAATTGTGGGTCAATTATTTTTGTCCTGGGCCTTGTTCTTTCATTCAAGGAATATTTATTGGACATCTATTTGCCAGACATTCTTCACGTGTTAGGTTACATTTGTAGCACCAGCTACATATCTTGCATATAGAATCTACTAATAACAAAAAAGACTAGATAGGAATATGACTGGTCTTGCATAGCGCTGTCATTGACACTGGAAAAACAATCTAAAGTATAAGCTTTCTTATTTTGTTTTTCATATTGTATCACATTTTTAGGACTGTGGCGATTGTGATGAATTACCGTATTTTATCAATTCCAAGATGCACATTCTTTTCACGTTAAAAAACTCTTATTTTGTAAATCTTTTTCACATTTTAACAACTCAGATATCAAGATGCATCTCACAATCATTGTTGGCCAGGTAGCAATCATGGTGTTGTCTGTGCCTACAAATGAACATTAAAACTTGTAGAATGGATGTCAGTGACTTAAAAGAAATCGTGAAGACAATAGTAGAATGGAGGACTGTTAAGAAATGTCACATTACCGGTGGTCTTCGTGGCACAGAGGACAATATATTACGGCAAAAGTGGGTATCAGTAATGCTATTGAAATGTTTCAAGTGTTGGACACTTAATGTGAAGTTTTAAGAATTTCTTATCCCGTTTATCCCAATTGTTTAGCTTATATAAAGAATGATACATTATAAAATTGTATGTCTAAATAAATCTAAGAGAGCTCTTTTAACCCTTTTTTTAAAAAAACTATTTTAAAGCTGTTTAAAGGGAAATTTTCAAACACATTTACAGAGAATAGTATAATGAACTCCTATGTACCAATCACCTAGACACAACTATTGACTCTGCCATTTTCATTTAATCTCATCCCCAGTTTTTCATTCAATAAATTTACAATTAAAATTCTAAGTAATAATGTTGCATAGGTTATTTGGCAGTGATTTTTTTCTTTGTTAGTGATACATAAAATAACAATGCATGTTTATAATCAATGCCGTTGTAGATTCCATGAAATACTGTATTTGAATGATGCTGTATTGTGCGATGGTAACCATTTCTTTTTCAATGAGACACTGAGTGTGGGTAATTCTGTGTTTTGTTCTCTAGAGATTCCAGAGAGTGACATGGTGCCTGGGACCATTTTGGTGACAGAAGAAGAACTTAGTAGATGTATTGAGGATGTATTTAAGGTTGGTAATTTGAGTCACTAATGTTTTTAGCTAATATTTGCACTTAGTCTTTTAAAATAATTTTGCCTTTTTAATTGGAATTTCAAGAATTGGAATACTAATCTTAAATTTCAAACCACCAAAATCTTTTCATTTTGAAAATTGGAAACTATAAGCTGCTAGTGAAAAAACTGATAAATTTTTAAAGTGTCAGTTTCCTCATTCACTCAATGTTAAACAGTTTATATTCTCTGATTGGCATGTGCCACTGGTGAAAGCATGTCTTTTGAAGAAATTGACAGAGAGATTTGCAATACTGTACCCTTCCTAAAAGTGTATGATAATACTGAATCTGCTTTATACCCTTTGATAGTAATCACTGTCACAGAGAAGTAAGTCTGAATAAATGAATCCTGCAAATGACTACCTAAATATATACTGAAAATGAAAAAAAAGAATGTAAATTATATGTTCTCTATGATTACAATCTTATAAATATATATGAACTATAAATTTTTAGACAAAAATGAAGTCCACTCTGTTAGGGCCAGATGGAGTTGGGTTAAATATTCTTCTTTAAAGTTTATTTCAGGGGCCAGCCCTGTGGCATAGTGGCTAAGTTCATGTGCTCCCCTATGGCAGCCCTGGGTGCACCGGTTCGGATCACAGGAGTGGACCTAGCACTGCTTGTCAAGCCACTCTGTGGTGGCGTCCCACATAAAATAGAGGAAGATTGGCACAGATGTTAGCTCAGCAACAATCTTCCTCAAGCAAAAAGGGTAAGATTGGCAACGGATGTTAGCTCAGGGCCTATCTTCCTCAAACACACACACAACAGTTTACTTCAATAAATTTATAATAATATTTTGCTATTAAAAATGTTTACACTAATGGGGCCGGCCCCGTGGCCGAGTGGTTAAGTTCGCGCACTTTGTTGCAGCCTCCCAGGGTTTCTCTGGTTTGGATCCTGGGCGCAGACATGGCACTGCTCATCAAGCCATGCTGAGGCGGCGTCCCGCATGCCACAACTAGAAGGACCCACAGCTAAGAATATATAACTATGTACTGAAGTGCTTTGGGGAGAAAAAGGAAATAAATAAAATATTAAAAAAATTTACACTAAGAAACAACTTTCAAAATTATATTCCATGTGAAAAGGTGCAGCCATTTTGAAAAATAGTTTGGCAGTTCCTCAAAAAGTTAAACACGGAGTTATTATCTGACCCAGCAATTCCATTCTTAAGTATATATCCAAGAGAAATGAAAACATGTTCACACAAAAACATATACACGAATGTTCATAGCAGCATTATTCATAATAACCAAAATGTGAAAACAACCCAATGTCTATCAGCCAATGAATGGATTAACAAATGTGATATATCCATATAATGGAACACTTTTCAGCCATAAAAGGAATGAAGAATGGTGGCTACATGCCACAACATGGATAAACACTTAAAAATGATAGTTTTTTAATTTTAAAAAGCCAGAAACAAAAGACCACTCATTGTATGATTTCATTTATATGAAATGTTCAGAATAGGCAAATTCCTAGAGACAGAAAGTAGGTTAGTGGTTGCTAGGGCTGGGGCTGGGGAATTGGGATTAGCTGCTAATGATATGGGGTTTCTTGCTGAGGTAAGGAAAATATCTGGAATTAGATTGCTGTGATGGTTATACAACCTCATGAGTATACTAAAAAACACTGAATTGTACATTTTAAGAGAATGAGTTTTATGGCATGTGAATTATATCTCAATAATTAAAATTTTATATTCCACATTTCTCATTTCTTTTCTATGGCAGTAAATTAAACCTTTTAGAGTGAATTTTAGTTTATTATGAAATAGTTCAAACATACAAAAAAAAATATGAAGAGTAAAACACTCATGTACTCATCACTCAGCTTAAAAAATTAAACATTATCGGGGCCAGCCCGGTGGCGTAGTGGTTAAGTTCCCATGCTCCATTTCAGCAGCCCGGGGTGGACAGGTTCGAATCCTGGGTGCAGACCTACCACTCACCAAGCCACACTGTGGCAATGTCCCATACAAAATAGAGGAAGATGGGTACAAATGTTAGCTCAGGGCCAGTCTTCCTCAACAAAAAGAGGAAGACTGACAACAGATGTTAGCTCAGAGCCAATCTTTCTCACCAAAAATAGATAGATAAATAAATAAATAAATAAATAAACATTATCAATTCAGTTAAAATCCTCCATCTACCCATCCCTCGATCACATTTCCCTTGCTCCTATCCAAAGGGAAACACTATCTTGAACTTGTGTTTATTATTCCTTAAACTACTTGTAGCATTGTTGTGTGTGATTTTTAATTTTATTTTAATGGCACTTAATACATGTAACTTTAACTCATTCATTTTCACTGCTAGATGTTATTCTATTATATGACTTTACCATCATTTATTTATTCTTCTATTGATGGACATTTGAGTTGTTTCCAGGGAGTTTTTGCCAATCTGTTAGGTGCATTATGGTTTTAATTAGCAGTTAGTTCTTTTATTATTAGTGAGGTTGAGCGTTGTTTTGTGGTTTTGGTTCATTCATATTTTCTCTTCTGTAAATTGCCTATTCGTATGTTTTGCCCATTTAAAAAATTAGGTTATTTGCTGCTTTAAAATTTTTTAGAGTAAATCTTTTTTTTTTTTTTTTGAGGAAGACTAGCCCTGAGCTAACTACTGCCAGTCCTCCTCTTTTTGCTGCGGAAGACTGACCCTGAGCTAACATCCATGCCCATTTTCCTCTACTTTATATGTGGGACGCCTACCACAGCATGGCATGCCAAGTGCTGCCATGTCCACACTCAGGATCTGAACCAGCAAACCCTGGGCTGCCAAGAAGTAGAACGTGCAAACTTAACCACTGCAGCACCGGGCCGGCCCATAGAGTAAATCTTTTTTTATAAAACAGCTTTGTTGAGGTGTACTTTACAGATCATAAAATAATGTTTTAATGGTATGAGTCAATGATTTTTTAGTTAATTTACACAGTTGTGAAGCCATCACCATAATACAGCTTTAGAACATTTCCATCACCCCAAAAACATCCCTTGTGCCTGTCTACAGTCACTCCCAGTTCCCACCCCCAGGCAACCCCTAATCTGCTCTCTCTATGGATTTGCCTTTTGTGGATATTTCACCTGAGGGAATCATGCAATATGTGTTCTTTTGTGGCTGGCTTCTCTCTCTTAGCATCATGTTTCTGAGGTTCATCCAGGTTGTTGCATGTCAACATTTTGTCCCTTTTCATTGCTAAGTAATGTTCCATTGTATGAATATACCACATTTTTTAAATTTGTCATCAGTTGATGGGCATTTGGATGTACAGTAAATTTTTTTAAACAGCTTATGAGATGTAATTCACATACTATACATTCACGCATTTAAAATGTGCAAATCAATGGTTTTTTAGTATATTCACAGATTTGTACAGCCATCATCATAATTAATTTTAGGACATTTTATTGCTCCAAAAGAAACCCCACCTCACTCCCAAATCCATCCACCACCATTCCCCTCTCCCTGCAACACCTAGCCCTAGGCAGCCACTAGTCTACTTGCTGTCTCTGTAGATTTGCCTATTCTGGATATTGCATATAAATGGAATCATACAATATTTGGTCTTTTGTGATTGGCTTCTTTCATTTAGCATGATACTTTTAAGGTTCATCTATATTGTAGCATGAAGCCATATTTCATTCCTTTTTATTGCTGAATAGTGTTCTGTTAGCTAGCCATGGGGGTCTACTGGTTAAGATTTGGTACTCTCACCGCTGTTGCCTGGGTTAGTTTCCCATTCAGGGAACCACACCACCTGTCTGTCAGTCATCATACTGTGGCGGCTTCATGTTGCTGTGATGCTGAAAGCTATGCCACTGGAATTTCAGATAACAGCAGGGTCATCCAAAGTGGACAGGTTTCAGCAGAGCTTCCAGACTAGACAGACCAGGAAGAAGGACCTCGTCTCCCACTTCCAAAAAAAATTGGCCATGAAAACCCTATGAATAGCATTGGAGCAGATGAGAGGATGGCACAGAAAAGGCTAGGCAGAGTTCTGCTGTGCTGTACACAGGGCCACTAGGAGTTGGTGTGGATTCGACAGTACAAACAGCAAAGTACTCTATTGTAGGTATATACCATATTTTGTTTATCCATTTATCATTAGATGGATATTTGGGTAGTTTCTACATTTTGGCTGTTATGAATAATGCTGCTATGGATATTTGTGTACAAGTTATTATGTGTACATATGTTTTCATTTCTCTTGGGTATGTAACTAGGAGTGGAATTGCTGGATCTTATGGTAACTCTATGATTAAGCATTTAAGGTTTTGCTGTTTTGTTTACCAGAGTGTCTGTATCATTTTACATTCCCACTAGCAGTGTATGAGGGTGTAGACTAAATCTTAAATCATGTTCTTTCAGATAAGAAAGCAGATGCTTTTGTTTTGTTTTAAGCTTTATGTATGATACTAGTAAATTCATAGATATAAGATGCATGCCTAAAAATTCAAAATTCATTGTCCATAACACTCACTTTTTACTAAAATGATGTGGAGTTTCTTTTGGAGCAATAAAATGTCCTAAAATTAATTAATTGTGATGATGGCTGTGCAAATCTGTGAATATACTGAAAAGCGATTTTTCATTTAATTTTGCTGTTAAAAAAACAGAGTATACCCTTTACAGGGTTGACCTGGCGCACAAATATAGAATTAAATTGCTCATCAACAAAACATGACATGGTGACTTAGTACCTATAGTCCTGGGTTTTTTTAAATGCCTCATTTAGAACCTTATGAAAAGAAATATGTTTTACATATTGGTAGGCAAGGACTTTTCAGATTATAGGAAGACAAGAAATTATATAGAACAGTCTAGAAAGCAAATGTTCTGAATTAGAGAATAAGGCCCAACTAACTTTTAGAAAGATCATCTTCAGTCATGTCCCATCTAATAAATACCATGATGAAAAACTCTTAAATGGTTGGATGTGGAAT